GTCGCTCCCTGAAGGTGAAACTTTTGATGACGTTGTTGAGGGGACTCCAGTCCATTATTCGTGGACGGCGATTCGCTGTCGAAACAGTTGTACCACAGAGTTTTTTTTTTTTTTTACCAGCCAAAGATCTAGCACAAATATGTTACATGGATTAATTCCTATGTACCGCATGGGATTGTTCAGGATGAGTTCATGGACAATGCATGCAGCCATCTTCCTATTAAACTCGAGTTCCTCATCAGCACTGTTGGAGCTCACAATCAGGGCTATTGTCAGCAGCATGGCCTTCGTCATTACTATTATCACTCACTGTGTAGTGTGTAGTGCCACATGGACACACTTGGGCTGTCATCCGACTGTACCTCGCATACTCGTTAATCTTCCATCAAATCGTTTTCTGTGTTTGAATGTTTCGACTTTTGTACGTTTCCTCTGCAGCGCATATTTGGAGATCGCGCCATGCTGGCCTTGGCCTCACATACACCAAATATGGACCATGCTTTTGATGACAATGCGCGCATTGTTTGCTGACCTCGTCTTGCTGGATTTGTTTTCTATTTCTGTTGGAGTCTCATTCGTCTTTTTCTACACAATACACATGGCTGTTTGATTGATACCCACATTTTTTGCCACTTACAAAGTGTTTTCTTGTGACAAGTATCCATTGCACGGTGTTTTTGCTTACACTGGCAGTACTTATGATGCCATTTCTTATGAGTTCATCCCTTCATCGAGAACCAATGTTCCGAAATATACGGACAAGTAAATCACACACCTACACGGCGGGGCGCGGCAAACAATGGGGATAACATATCTGATTATGCCTACCCTTGCACAAAGAACACCGAGAAGCACAGCGCCTTGCCCTATGACCTGCCTTTAAGCACACAAAACAGAGACCTGACACTCTAATCTTAGTTAAACGCTCAGGGATGGTGAAGCCACTTAAAGCGGGACACTCAGCTGCAGGATGATGCTGGTCGCAGAACGGGCAGCCCCCAGAGGCCCGGGAGGCTGACTGGAGAGCAGCTGCAGAGCCCACTGCAGGCTCTCTGGCCCCTGCAGTCTTGTCTCGGCAGCCAACACGGGCACCAGTGATGCCTGGTTCTTAATTTTCGGAGTCGGTGTCGGCGGCCGTTTCTCGTGCGAACCGGGCTGAACGAGCCGCCGTCCGCGCAGCCCTTCTCCAGGATTTTCGGGCCTCCTTTTCTGCGTTCTCTGCCTCTCGTAGCTGGGCCTCAGCTGCCCGCACAGCGTCGCGGGCCCGCTCCAAATCGCGGCGGGCGATAACCCGGGCGATCCCACTTTGTCTCATAGCTTGATAGCCCGCGAGTGCGGCAGCTGAGGCGTGATGGGCTGCCTGGCTAACTTCCAGTCCGGCTAACTCCGGCTCGTCCTGATCTTCTGCGTTGTGAAATAGATCGGCCAGGAGCTGTGTTACTTTCCGCCTCCCTCCAGAAGCTAGCGTACCAACCCCCTTGAGACGTTTCATGATCAACGCTCGAATGATACGGCACTTAATTTTAACAACCAGCGGCAATCTTACGTTAATTGTCAATATATCTCGGGAAGTGAGTATTCATCAATAGCAGTTGATACCGTGATGCTGATTTAATTGACGTCACCATAGGCTAATTTGATAGGCCGGCAGTCGATGAGACGAACATTCGAAATAAAGTTTTGTTGATTTTAAGACTGGGACTACCCGACAGCCAAGCGCTTATGGCTCCGTCATGGTGACCGCCGATCTTGCCCTGACCTGACTGACCGTTCAGCACAGTACTGGTCAAATTCTAAACTGGTGAATCGCGCTCGAGATTGCTAGCTAGTCAACCTCGGTTCTCACTTAAATGTTCTTTCTCCTTAATGTAGAAGGGAAAAGGGGAAAAGTAGAAGGGAAAAAGATGTATATTTGTCATATTTGTCGACACTGAACTAACGTCAAAGGAGCCTCTCACTGTGAGGCATGACAGAATTAGTGTTTTGAGCCTATTGGAGAATGATGGCCAATCGTAATGCAAGGGAATAGCAGCACGGGCACACCATGTGCAAATAGTTTCTCCCAGAAAGTATGTCTGGCATGGTTGATGTCCATATGAATAATGGTGAGTGAAAGGACATAGACAGCTCCTGACAGAAACAGCTCCTAACTCATGTAAGGGTACTTTTTAACATCACGCCCTAGGAGTAGCAAGTAACTTCCCCCTTTCGACAACTCGCTGATGTGCTTGGCTGCTGGTTCTCTTCATCTGAGCTAATCACATTAGCTCTTTTCTTCTTCCTCATGCCACGTCCCATTTCTTCTTCGTTCTCTTTTTCAGACTCAAGGTCTGCGTCGATGCTGTCAACTGCTTTCTCCATTTTCTCCTTGCACCCTGCTTAGAGCCAATCCATAAATATTAGTATGATTGGTCAGCACATAGCAAGCTTCCTTTATAACACTATTTAACCCGTACCAAAGATCGATATAAGCCTGCGTTCTGACAGCCTTGTCAGCCTTATATCAGTTTCTACATGGAATTTCCATGCTGAGGAATTCCCCTAGACAACAATCTGTTTGTGTTAGCATTATGCCTGTTAGCCAAGTGCATTTGCTTGAAGAAATCCTCAACATTAGAATTTCAAATAGAAACTGGGCCAACCATACACAGCATAAGTTATTTTATATTGCAATATTCTACGGTTCCTGTTGTGAGATTTCATCATCTGGTTATTCTAGGCTTAAAAACAGGCTAGTTTTCTGCTTTCGTTTTTGTGGGTTTGCGTGTTTTGCATAACATCGTTCCAGAAAAGAATGATATTACGTTTTTTGATATTTTTCACCCTAAATGTTGCTGTTCTTGTTTGTTTGGGGTTAGGGGCGCGCCGACTGCGAGATTATTTTGCGCTCATAACAGAGATTTTAAATACGTTTTTAATTACTTACTTATTTACGTTTGACCCTAAAGTTTAATTAATATGTGATATTAACTTTTGTATATCACTAATGTAAAAGTTACATTATTTATAACTTTTTCTAGAATGATATTACGCAAAAAAACGCAAATCCGCTAAAATCGCACGCAGAAAACACATAGTGTTGCTAGGCCTTAAGAATTTGTGAAACTAAAAATTAGAAGAGAAATTAAAGTAAATGAATAACAACTAAGATACATACCTAATCGTAGACCTACGATTTTTGCTGGAAACCAGCCTCTCCCATACTTGGCCGTAGCCGTGTCTCCGACCGACACTGACGCATCTTCGACAGCGTCAATACTTTTTATAGGAAGGACATCCCACTTTGGTGGGTCCTCGCACCACCGGACGGCTGCCTAAGCCATCTCGAGTACAAAACACTGATACTAAAACAAAACGACCTCGCTTTAAGACGCCGTACGCGGCAAAATCGGCAAAATATCCAGAAGAATTCAGAAATATAACACCAACAGCAAACGCGACCCAAGCCTGGTCCGGGAAGGAAAATGGCGCCCTAATGGTGAAGATAACTGGAATCTAAGCGATAACAATAGCGTATTTCACAAGGAAAATATTTATTAAACAAATGCGTTTGTTATTTGTAATTTAGTCCATGTCAAATATGGTGTGTCGTAGTACCTCGCAGCCTACGGTAACCTTAACGCTAACTTAATTTAGTGACAGCACCGCGCCGCATCGAGTGACACATGGTCAAAGAGGGTTGGTCCGCTGCCGGCGCTGGCCCGACGGACAGGGACCGGGGGCCCAGTCCCCCGTTCAGCCCTGTCACTTGACCCGGTTCTCCTCCCACGCCCCGTCCACCGCGATCGCGTACAAGAAGTGCAAATAACCGACACACGGTCCCCGCTCCTATACAAAATTGTAAACTGAGCCCTCGCCACTCGCTAGCGAGGCGGGATACGGACGCAGTAAAACCATTACTCTGACCCTCTGTTCTCAGCTGTCCCTAGTCATTCCTGGCCCTCCCATTATTCTATCCCAATACCCACTCCGCTGCTACGGCGGCACCAATGAGCGCAAATGATCTGGCAAATAGTCCCAGCGCCGGTACAGGCGAAATGGGCCATTGCCGCACTCTGGCGCGGCGGTGTGAAATACGAACGCCGTCGAACCATTACCCTCACCCTACGCAGCAGCTGTCCCTATCTGCTACTGGCCGCGCATTTCCTACCCTCTAATGGTGGCAGGACTGACCCATGTGTGAGGGAGGAGAGTGTATTGTGAAATGTGGTTTCTTGATCCCACCTGCGTGTCCATGGCTGGGGTTCTCCCCTGATGCTGTGGTGGTCAGGGATGGGAAGCCTGTCAGGCTTGTGGAAGTGAAAAGCCCAGTGTGCGGGAAAAAGCTGAGCCCACTGCAGATGCTGTCACAGAAGTCGCTGGCCTATGTGGACTTTGATGGGGAGAACGGTGAGCTCCGAAAGCGGCACCAGTATTATGGTCAGGTGCAGCTTGGCATGGCGATCCTAGCTGTTGACAAGTGTGACTTTGTCATCTATGGCAAAGACGGCATCGCCATACTCCCCGTGTACAGGGATCCTGTGTTTCAGGAGCGTCTCCTGCAGTCACTCCGCAAAGTGTTTTTCACAGTGCTGCTTCCACAGATGTGCAGGAAAATGTGATTGTGAAGTGCAAAGCACTGAGGGAACATATGTGTGCTTGTGTGTGAAGTTCCAAGTGTCATGAGATGGGAACATAGCTGCTGACATGCACTGATGTAGTACTAACTCCAACAGCTGTCATGATGTGTCACAGGCACAGCTCTGGTTATATATACGTTTCAACTGTTGTCATCCTCAGTTTTGTAGCAATCGTTTTGTTGATGTCACAATAAAGTATGAACAGAACTTTTCACCTATATTTATATCATCACTTTCACATGAACTTGGAGACATAAAGGCATGCACATGACACATGAAGAAGGCACATTCACATGGGTGGCATGGAAGCTTTAACAGAGCAGGTGGTTGACCGCAATTTGCTTTGCTCAAGCATCAGCCTTTGCGCTCCTTGTTTGTTTGCGAGTCGACTGCGTGGGGTTCAGAACCTGTCATCAGCAAGGATTGGAGCCTGGAGATTTGTAATTCCACATACAATAATGATGAGCTCATCAACATAATTCAGCATGGACCACTTCAGCTTGTTTTTCATCACAGCGAACAGTTTCAGTCTTTGGATAGCCCTCTCTACATGCACCCGGGCACGAGCTATCTCAGCAGTTTTTTTGGCCTCTGCTGATGAAAGCTGTTTCTTTGCTCTGAGAAATGGGGGCCTGATCAGCTCTATTGCACTGCTAAGGCAGTCCTCTTCTATTTGGAACCCTTTGTCAACCATGACGGCATCAATGTAGGGCTCTAACAGCTGTGTAATGCCACTGTCATTGAAAATAAACTTGTCACTAACCCTCCCTACATATGCGCTGCTCACGAAACTGATGCTGCCACATGGTGCACACCCTACCATGAACTTGATGGTGTGATCACTGTAATATTGAGAGTATGTTCGCACACGACAGTTCAGGCAGTGACACTTCTCTACAACAACCTCTGTACAGTCCAGAATCACACGAGTTTTGGGGAACTTCTTGAATGACTTTGGCATCCAGTTCAGAACCTCCTCTTTTGAGGGCCAGTCAATAACATCCTTAAGCGTCTTGGCTAAGGCTGGCACAACAGCCTTGAACAGTTTTGCACAAGTTGTCCTATCAAGCCTGGCAAGCACCCCTAAGGATGTAAAACTCAGGCCAAGTTTTAGCCGCATCATGGATATAATAATCCCTTTCCTAACATCCTGCAGAGATGGCAGCTGAGTCTGATCATGTTTTTCAAGTGCATCAAGGACTGAAAATGATGGGATTCCAGTGATGACTCTTAGGTCTTGGTCACTTTTAATGAATCCACACACATCACCTTTTTCCACACTATTGAGGGAGACTTGAATGCTGGCATCAGCCATTTTTGAAATACCCTGCTGCAGCTCCAGAAGAGCCTCAGCAGCTGCCATATCCCGGTCACCTTCATCCAGTTGAGGTTCATCCTGTTCTTGTTCATCTACACAGGCTAGCTGTACCCTGCCGGCACGACGAGCCACCCTGTCTTCCCTGGCAGAGTCTCTTTGTGCTTTCTTGATGTCCCGGTCGGTTGATCTAAGCGGGATGTTCTCAGAAGGGACTGCTCCTTTCTTCAAAAACCGCCTTGCGTGCTCATGGGCTGTAAGAAAAGAATGTCATTAATATTAAATGTCATACAATGCCAGCCATCTCCAAGAGAGCAAACTAAGTAGGTACTCAACAAAACAAGTCATTCTCAGCAGTCGATTTCTCACCTGCTGGCAGAAAGTCTGTTGGCTTGAAGTGCTTAGAACAAACACGCATTGATGGTTTCAATTTCTTTCCTGTGCGTATAGCCACTTCCCATATTTTTCGGTCTTTTTCGTCCTTAGGGGCAAAGTGGAGGCTGATGCGTTGTTTCTTGTCCGTTCTCGAATTGCATTGTGGTACGCAACAGTTTGAGTTGCTCTTAAATCTGGCCATGGTATCACGTTTTGTAACTGAATACTGTAGAATGGAACACAACACCAGAAGAGCTGGAAAACAGCGAACGAGCACAGATCCAACGCTTGAAATGAGCGCACCAAGGGACGAACAAGGCGGGACGCGTAGGGGAAGGTGGGGTAAGACGGACCAGCTAAGGTTTGAGGCCGCATATCTTGCTACACTGCTCTCGTAATTCATATTATTTATAGTCTTCGGAATGCTCAATCCTTCCTCTGTTGATATGTGTAAAGACTAAATTTCAAACTAAAGACATCTAGGTGGTGGATGCTGTTAAAGAGGGACATGTCAAAAACTCAGACAAGAAAAAACGTGGGGTAAGACGGACCACCCAGCAGTGCCTGCTATCCGTTCATGTGTGTTACACTTCTGCTCTGTACTCTTGTAAGAAAAAGTAACCAGAATGGTAAAATAACAAAATGAGCCTTTATTCTTTACTCATGTGTGATGGAAGTGCAGCTAAAAGCTAGGAACATATGTGTTGATTGTCGTTTGGCATGAATGCATGCTAACTGAGCACTTGCATGCATGGCTCACATGCAACAAAGACTCCTTCCTGAAAAATTAGCTTACTTAAACTTGTGTCAATGTTTTGGAAAAGAACTTTCCATATGCAGGGTACAATGGACCACCACAGGGTAAGATGGACCACAGTGGTCCGTCTTGCCCCAAATCTAAATTCTGTCATTATCATGACGTATACGTCAAATAGCCCAACATTGCAAAACCTTGCCTTTCCTAAAGTGTGACTATAACTAAGTTTATAACTTTGTTCTTCACAGTTAAGTGCAAAATAGAAACTTATCATGCAAGAAAGGCGCCGTAATTGAATCACTCGTAGACCTCTTATATTAGATCGGTTTGACGAAAAACAACATTTTTCTCAATAACTCAAAAGCTATGCATCCTAGCAGCATGAGCTCAAGGTGGCCATTGTTACGAAGGAAAACAAACATAGTGAGTGCATAAAGCAGTAGATACCAGCAGCGGTTCAGCCGGGAGGGCTGGTGGTCCGTCTTGCCCCGCTGGGCCGTCTTACCCCACCTTCCCCTACAGCCCGCGACGCGCCGATCACACTACCTCTGATTTCATTCCCTACCACCAGATGTCAGCCACTTCGCATTCCCGAGGCGAATGGGACGGCAGAGCGAGGTTTGAGGGTAGACGGCCGGTAGAATTAGCAGAGGGGAGAGAATGTGTCCGTGGTGGGCATGGTGGGGAGTTAGACGAGCAGCTTTCAGAGCTGAGTTAGACGGGCACTGGCAGCTGTCAGCTCTGACAACTCACTTGAGATTATCTGGTCGGAGATGGAGATTCTTGCTGGCTTTTGATGGTGGTTGCACTGGCAGAGAGAGAAGAGAGGGCACCACTCGGGTCCGGTCTGGCAGAGGCTCCCCGGGTGTTCTGTCCCTCTCCTCCTCTGCGGCCTGGTTTTATTCTTGCGTGATAATAATTGCCGGTTCCGGAGCGGAGGTCGGTTCTCGTGACCAAATCGGCATCTTGCAGGTGTATCCGGGGCGGAAACGCGCCTGTCGTTCCCCGGTGTGTCTTCTCTCAGCTGTTTCCTTGCCGGACGTGACGTTTTCACAGTCGATGTCCGCTGGGGTCGGTCCTCGGCTGCACGAGACGCGACTTCCCCCTCTCTCGGCATCGGCTCTCCTCTCCGGTGTCCGCTCGAACCTTTCAGGCAGGATGTCTAGTGCCAGAGGGTCTGGGACTGGCTCGGCATCGGATACAGGTGTTTCCGAGGCGCGCCGGGTCTGTCGGCGGCGGCTGCCCCGGCCCCCGGCACAGAAGGGCCGTATTTGTACTCCTGTCGGCGGACCTTTGATCTCTGCGGCGTCAGCCGGTCAATAGGGGCAGCTGTTCGGCAGGCGTGTGACCCGGTTGCTTTCTTGGCTTAGACGTCCCAGCAGACTGATCGCTATATGAGAAGTTTACGTATGAAATGATATGATTTTGGGGTATGAAAAAATGTCAGCGCTCAGCTGATACAGCAGGAGGCAAGAGCGTTGGTGTCACTACACCTTGCTTGGTATGTGCTATCGCTCGGCCGATTGCATTATCTCGTAATGAAAGGTCATTTGCTAAATCATCCTGCGCGGAAGCAACTGGCGGACTCGTTCACCTCTGGCGCCGGCCTCCCCTCACGACCTGTGTCGGGTCGCCTCACCGGCGCGCAGCCCACAATCATTGCTCTCCCGACCCGGACGGGGTCACGCACACTGTTGGCTCTGCATCCGAACTGTAGTACCCCCTCAACAGTCAACACATAATAATGATCGTAACACCGAACACTGACGGTAGCAGCCACCCAGCAGACAGCTGGCAACAGAAAGGTTCATTGGACACTCGCACTCCTACGGCACATTCTGTCAGAGGTCGTGCACAGTTCCGCGCCTTGTAATTGCCCACGTAGCCGTCCTCCCACTCTTCGCTCGTCTGTCATTACCACCAGACTATCCGTGCAAGCAGGCCATGTCACCGGGTAGCTGACACTCCACCAGCCGTCCAGTCAGGTCACCAGACGAGGGGGACTGACACCACTCGGTCTCACTGATCCCGCCACGGCCGGCTGCGCTGGAGACCAGCGCAACGTCCAGCGCAGGGGAGGCTTTCAAGGTAGGTGTAATACTGAGCTACGCGGTTACTAGGCTGTTTCGTTGTGACTTTGATTATTCATTTTTACTGGAATACGTTGCAGGGTGTGATCGATATAATACATTTTCATAATTAAGCTTCTTAGATATCGCTAAACGACTAAACGTAATTGCGAATTATAATGAGTCACCACAGCACGGTCCCAAATTGTGTTTTACGTGCTCATCTATAAATGCGTGTGGTTCCGCTGGACTTTGTTTCTATAAATGTTCTCGTTACCTCCGGTCAGGATCACTGCCCAGTTTTTTCGTTCTGTCACTCTGTCTTTTTGTGCACGAAGTGTTTCTCTGACGTAACCACCTTTTTTCTGTCCTCAGGTGGGTCTCGGAGTCCCGTACTCATGGCCCAGGAGATCAAAACCGTCCGGGAGCTCCTGAGCTGTTGTTGTTGTTGTTGATTTTCCCTCCGGCCGCGGGTGGCCCCGCGGCGTAGCCTCATCGGCTCTGGAGGGCCCTGAAGGCGGCCACCAGGGCCGCCACCACGTCACTGCGCCAGACCTCGTCGGGTGTTGGTAGGATGTTCCCTACGGCCGGGATTCTGAGGCGAACACCCATCAGGCCCGGGCACGTGAGCAGGATGTGCCGGGGGGTGTCCGCCTCTTCGCCGCACAGCGGGCACCGGGCGGCCTCGCATAGCAGGTCCCGGCATTGGGCGCAGGCGGCTGAGGGGCTCCGGCCGATGGAGTGTAGGAACTGGGTCGATCCACTCCAGTGGCCAGTCCGGATCTGGTGGACATCGATGGCTGCCCGCCGATCCAGGCCGGAGACTGGGGGCGGGTATCTCGTACCCATCAGCTCCCGGTACCAGCCGGTCGCCGCTCTGCGTGTCGGGTCTGGGTATGACGGTCTGTCCCTGGCCGCCTGGTCCCTGGCTAGACGGGCCGCAGCCTTGTAGATGGTGTTGACGTCGATGGAGGCGATTTCTTGTTCCAGCGCCGCCGCCTCTCCTGCCAGCACGTCCGCCGCCTCGTTGCCTGGGATCCCACAATGCGATGGGACCCACTGCAGCGTCACGTGGCGGTCCGGTGTGGCGATTTCCAGCAGGCGGCTCCATATCTCCGCCCCCTGGACCGTCCTCTGGGCCGAAGGCCCCTCTCTCAGTGCAGCCAGGGCAGACTGTGAGTCGGTGCAGATTATTATTGGAGCTCGCTCTCCAGCGAGCTCCTGAGCTCGGCACATGAGATCCAATCGGCCCATTCGAGTGCTTTTTCTGGGAATCAACGGCAAATACACAGCGTGTGACATTGGTGGAAACTTTCATCAATGCCCCCTACATGTGTCGAAAAGTCTTACTGACCCCCCACATGTGTCGAAAAGTCTTACTGACGAGTTTGTGGATTTAGCCTTCATGGATACAGGGTGTGGCTATTTTCGTCAAGAGGTGACTAATTACAAGCCGCCCTTTCTTCTGGTCCTGTTGTTGTTTGTTCAATTTAGTTTCGGTATGTGTTGTTCGAGCATTCTCTCATACAGAGACTGTTAGTCGATTTAGATGCGGTGAGCTTCATAGATGTCGCTGCGACGACATTGCCAAAAGCTGAACTTTACATTATAGTGTTCATATGTGCCGTTTTGATTAGTTGACTTGTGTAATTTTTCCTATTATATGCACACATTTTTTTGAACTAAACAGCTGTTTTCAGTGCACTAGTTTGGGAGCCGTTTTTCGGTGTGTAAAGGTCTGTCTCGAGACAATGTTTCTTTCACTCAAGGCTTGTATTTGTACGTCAACACGTTTGCGTTGTTTTCGAATCGAGTAATAGGTCTTACGCTGGACGTCATGACACCGCTGCAATGTGTGCTCGAGTTTTTCATATTTGATGTCAAAGATGAATGTAATTGTATAATGTTCTGCTTCTCTTTTGTTACCACTCGGTGGCCTTGATGACTGATTTTCATCCTGTCTTATTAGAAAGTGCTGGGCCATCCGTGTCAATACACGATCCATTTTGACCCCTTTTGTCTATGCGAGATCTTGATGGCGCGGTCACAGGTACAGAAAAGGCAGAGACAAAGTGCTTCGAATTGCTGCAATTTCTCGTAATAATAGTCATTATGCCAAATAATGGAAAGCATGACGGAGTTGAGTAGAATGATTTGTGCGGGCTACAGTTTTTGGACTATTGCCTGTTTTTTTTTTTTTTGTAAGCTGTCAAAGTCGTTGTCTGTACATATATTTACATCACATCTTTACCAAATAAACTATCATGCAAACCCTAGTTTTCAGAAACTTTCAACATCACATAAGCATTACATGCATACAACAAAGCTAAATCGCAAAGGCTCTTTATCGGATCTTTGCCTAGAATAAGCAGGAAATAGATCGTATCTGTTAAGATCTGTTTCATTAACTGATGAGATTGGTCTTTTTTTAGCTTTCGGGAATTGCTTCATCCTCTTGCAGCGGACCAATATTACGAACACTTGTGAGGGACTCATTCGGTCTGTTTTTTTTTTTTAATCACACGAAAAGCTTACCATCTAGCCACCCTGGTGGATTCAGTGGATCCCAGGTGGTCCCCGCCGAGTGCGCCTGGCACTTCGCCGGGCGCACTGCTTGGCTTGCTATAGAATCCAGTGCCTAGGGATCCTCTATGAACGACCCTAGTACACGGTACACACAGCTCAACTGCGTCTCCTCGGGGTTAACTATCTCGACCCCGGTGGCAGTTCGACGTCCGCCACTAGCTGGCGGCACGTAACGCACACGGCATGTCCCCGACGGTGTTCCAGACACTCGATATCGTCGTCAGGCTTGGCAAATATTCAGACACTCTTTGCCACCTGGCGCTACACAAGGTACTTTCAGCAGCACCACAATCGCCCGACGTCAAAGTCACGTGACCGCAGGCCACCTTTACAATCGACAGACACCATAGTCACGTGACATCAGGCCACACGCCACATAGCGCTTCAAGTATCACTGAAGTTCAATACCGCCTCCCCGAGCGTCCCTGCCAATCCAGCCTGTCATCGTCGTCGTCCCACTCGTCCCCGTCCTCCTCCTCCTCGTCCTCCCTGTCCTCTCCGTCGTCCTCCCGTTCCTCCGGGTACACCGCGTCAAAGAAGCGCCGCGGCGGCAGCTCCTCGGCGTAGACGGTCTCGACAAAGTCGCCCCAGCCGTGGCGCCGTCTGGGGTAGGTCTGCGCGGGCCGGCTCAGCCGAGCTGTTGCCCTCTTCGCTCCCGCTGGTCGTACCGGCTGCTGCGCTGGGGCCCGCGCACGCGAACGGTCGGCCGAGAGGTTTGGGCAACTGAAAGGGGCAACGCTGGTCAGATGACGTCACCGGAAGGCAAGCGCTGATGGGTCTTGGGAATTTAAACAGAACGTTTGACTTTAACCTATAGCCAGTCTGATGACCAGTGAGGTCACCCATGCCCATGCGGCTGGATATGACATTCGTGCGGATATTTTGAGACTCCTAAGTACACATTTCACCCTTGTTTGCATGTCTGTATGTTAGCCATAACTTTTCAAGCTATTAGAATGTCTAGAATCATGCTTTTGGGAAAAGATCGCCACGAAAGATATCTGATGAGCCAATAGTAGAAGATGCAAATACGATATCTCATTTGAAACCTTTACGACTAGACATTGTAGTTCAACGTATACGTTTTTTTCGGCTACGTCGTTTATTGTTTTCGTTCCGAATTTTCGACCATCGAGGCTCGAATTTTCGACCATCGAGGCCGTTGTCAAGAAACATGACAATGATGTTTCTTGACAACGGCCTCGATGCGAAGGTCGAAAATTCGAAACGAAAACAATAAACGACTAGTAGCCGAAAAATCAAACGTTGAACTACAAATACGATATGATACGATCCAAGAATTATTCATGCTTCAGTAAGTTCAGTTCAGGATTAGTAAGAAGGCATGCGGACAACATTCATTTGGGAAGAACTTTGCGCAACCGTTTTCGAACTACCTACGTATGTTTGGGGTTAGTTGAGGTATTTTAAGGTTATTTATGCTTTGTCATCACATGTGAGTGCATATTCGAACCATCATGCATGAGTTTTACGATGGTGGTATTTGGTAGGCAGCTACTGTTAATCTTTCTGCTATGATATTTAGTAGTTCGGTGTCATCGACTATCGCTGTGATAATACATGCTCGGTTAGATTTTGTTTCTGAAATATCATATGTTAATTGAATTCCCAAAGGTTAGTGCATGTGATATCAGACCGGTTTGGGATGCGTATGAAAAAACCCTCCATGCAATTTAGTCCCGCGTGTCCTTGTGGGTTACCTGTTGGCCTGGCGTGTCTGGCCTCCTGGACATCGCTAATGGGCGTGCGGTCGCTGCTGTAGAAGTTATGGAAGGACGAGAAGAAACGAGTGCCCTGGTCGAAGGGTCGGGCTTCTCGTGAGGGCAGTGCGGTACATCTGTCGGCCACAGGGGTGGACCGAGTCATACGCCGGCGCTCATGGCTAATCCCATAGCAGCAAAGAGTCACTAATCCCACAGTAGGCAACTCTGTGCAGTGTGCACAGTGCATGACATGGCGCTTAGTTAGTCGTGCTTTCCGGCGAGTTACTCCTCAAATGTCACGCTGAGATTTGGAATGTTCCACACCCAGGTCCAACGGAAACAAGGGATATACCAGTGAAATGCGAAGGATAATGATCCTGACTAATGATAATGTATGTCAGCAGCCGGTGATCATGAGCCCTAAAGTAAAAATCCGCTATAAAATATGATATGTGACCTTGGTTGAGCTGTAGGGTCGTGGTGTCACTTCATTCCGCAAAAACTTTGACGATGTGCAGTACATACTGTAGGTACAGTGATTTGACTGAACCAGATGACTAAATGTAGTGATCTTAAAATCAGTGTGACCTGTGTCTGGATTCGATTATTTGGTAAGAAAAGAACAAATATGTTTTCATAGTCGAGATGTAGAATCAACTTCGGAGCTTGGTAATGCCAAGCGCACTTCAGCAGATCTCTAGGATCCTAGCCAACACTGGAGCCGTGACGGCAAGAGTCGCCTCTCCAAAGGACTAATGCGTGCCCTGCAGGGGCTTGATCAGAACTTCTGACCCCTGGGTGCTAGCCAGGGACAGTGGCTGCTGCTTTTGAATCAGGTTGAGCCTTGAAGTTGTCTGCTATTGGCCAGCAGATTATCATTACTCTATTGGCCTCTGCATATCCGTGGGTGCTGACCATGGCTAAAACAAATACTGGATCCAACCAAGGACGACATCTAGCCAAGTATTAATTTTAATTTTTGAGTATGCGAAGGCTGAAAAACTTGTTTGAAAAATTACTATGATTGTGAAACTGGTTTATGACACAGATAATCTGACACAGATAATCGCCTCGTCGCTTGACTCACGAGCAGGTGTTGAGGTCGAAGTAGTGCCCGGTGCTGCACTCTCGCTGCTGCTTGCACTTGCACTGGCATGTGCTGGGCTCCCAGAGTTTCTGGCTGTTCTGCGAGCACTTGACGTAGTCGTCTTTGTTGACGCACTTGCAGCGACACTCGCTCTCGACGTACTCCTGGAACTGGTTGCAGTCCTGTGTGGGGGGGGGGGGGGAGGGGTCAGAGTCGCACTGAGACATTTGGGACTGTATGTTACTACAAGCGAAGTTTATTTATGATATTTTTACAAAATATCTAGAAAGGTTGTCAAACACCTTGGTTCGAAAAATTTCTTCCTAATTAAATAATAGGGATTCGTGGGAGTTAAGTTCATTTCACAACCACCAAAGGAATCAGCGCATACCACATGAATGTGTCACCCTGCACCGTAGTACTGTCATCTGCTACAACCCTGAGACGTTCCACTCATTCCCTCACAACGTGGGAACAAACTATTTAAAAATCGACACTTAATCATACACTGCCGTCTGGTCGCAGACGCTCCTGGCTAACCGGTTATGCGCGCCGACTTACGTTGGCGGTCAGCTTGCAGCCGCACTCGCAGGCCGTGTGGATCTCCAGGGGCACCATGATGGTGTCCGTGTAGCCCATCCGGCTGGAGCCGTCCTGGTAGCCCATGCTCACCACCTGAAACGCAGACGTGGAGCTCGGTCAGTAGTGCCGAACGGTCTCTGGTCAGTGGTGGATGAGCGGTCTCGGTCATTGGTGTAGCCGTCTTGGTCAGCAGTGCCGAGCCGTCCGGTCAGCAGTGCCGAGCGGTCTCGGGTCAGTCGAGGAGCGCGCGGTTTGGCTAAGCCCTGAAACGGTCTCGGTTCAGCCGGCCTCGAAGATAAGGTGGTTTTGTGGTTGGATCAGTTTGTCTTAATTGGGATGGGTCAGATCATATCGATCAGAATTAGGATGGGTTAAGAGGTCAGATCGGTCCATTTCGTAGCGGTTGTGTTGTTTGACACGGTCATCGGCTGCACTCTTGCAGAAGTTGGCAATCGAATTGAAACCAATATCCAGCGAGAGACACTTCTGCGCGGGCCTCATGGCGAAATTTTCCAAAAATGCTGCTAAAAAACGGGACCAGATTTGCAGCTTGCTGCGGTTGAGCGGTTTGATCCAAACAATGTCCCGGGTTATAGGTCTGGGCTGCATCAGACTGACCAATCAGTGAAATCCCCGGGTCACGCCGTCCCTGAGAGCAGCCGGACCTAATCCGCGTCCACTCCCAGGCGGGACTCTGGCCCCGCTGCAGCTCTCTCCCACCGCCATGACTGCAGCGTGAGAACAGGAAACGTTCTCACACGGGGCTGGACGGGCAGGACCCTGCACAAAATCGCCTGATTCAACGGCCCCGCTCGACGACATCTGAGCGAGCAGGCGCATTGCTCATCTCCACCGGTAATCTGTAAATTCTTTTGGGTCTGAATAATGCAGGTATGATTCAACTCTAAAGATGGATAAGAAGTATCTTCCTATGAAATCTGACGGGTCCGAAAATTGTCAACTTTTGCAAGCCTACTGTCCGGTCTTCCCTGCCTCTCGTTCAATAAAATGAGTATCTACCTAAGCATTACGGGTTAAGAAAACATCCCGGCATTCCTAGAACTAAAGCAGGTCGCATTTGAGAAAACAGCCTTTCATGGAAGATGTTAAAATTGCAACGCAAAAATTACCGCTTAATAAAACCGTCAATTATGGTGCAGCCTCCAAGTGAAAAGAACCGCTTCTGATGTACTAAGTACTAACCCTGACAGAACAAGTGCAATGTTTTCCTCTATTTTCTCCTAGCGTCTGTACTGGAATGTGCCCAATTTGCTTAAAGTGACCATCCCACCTTAACATTAGTTTTGAGTTGAGATAGCCAAATTGGTGGCCATGGCCTGAAAATACCGGTTTGGGCACTCACAACATCGAAAAATGCTTTAATTCGGAGATATGGAATTTCAAACTTGCAGTTTTCGGATTCTAAGGGGCTAATGCATTGGTATGCCCCCTTAGAATTTGTGACGTCATCGGAGGTCTAACAGTTTTTAAATCTTTTACTAAAACGTTTGGTAGCACGCGGTGGTATATGCTGCTTTGCGCGTAACAAATGCCGCACTTTCAAATAAAGTCGCTAGGAACAGCGGAGATCCCAAAAAGTAAACAAAAGTAAAAGTCTAATATCTTGAAAACCGGTGAATATTTTTCGATGAAATTTGGTACATATTCGTTTTCGCTCTTTCTGAACCGAGCGACATCACTTTCATGCCAATTCATTAACTTTTTTGAAGGTGGGAGGGTCCCTTTAAACACAGAGCATTACGCAATGTTTTCAAATTGCAGCGCATTTGTGAGAAGGCCTTCGCTGCGAGATGGCGTGATTGCGATTGAGCGCTTCAACTTCTATTTAATTTGCTGGGCAGGACAAACAAACTGAACGCATGTAAATGCATTGAGTGGCCATACTTTATTGCAATCTGCTTGATTAACAATGTAAAACAAGTCAGTTGACCTGATGATTTTGGTTTTGATATGCCTTTCGGCAGTTTCTCTCAATGGGTATTTAGATCTGCCGTAAAATCCTCTCTTAAATGTAGTCGATATATTGATCATAGTTTGATTTGCAGCCAATACAAACGTCTTAATCACGAACCAATTCCATCAAATGCGAAAACGATGCATCAAAACACATAAGGTCACCCCCGTTCTCTGGCGCCACCTCACCTGCACGTGGATGGTCTTGGTGGCGGTGGGCTTGCAGGAGAGCAGCTCGTGCGAGCAGCAGCCGCCGCAGCGCTCGACGCGCGTGCACGACGGCCAGTAGATGGTGTTGCTCTTCTTGTTCTCCTCGGCGATAGGGACAGTGGTGAGCTCCGGCTTGCAGACGGCCGCCACCGCCATCTCGCCGTTACGGTCTGCCGAGGGGACGCAGATGGGGTTACTGGGGTCTGTACGGAACGGGGGGAGTTACAGACGGTTTGTAGCAGACGGAGGGGGTTACGGGGGTCTGTACGGAACGGAGGGAGTTACGGGGGTTTGTAGCAGACGGAGGGAGTTACAGACGGTTTGTAGCAGACGGAGGGGGTTACGGGGTTTGGAGGGAATGGGAACGGCATGCGGCTCTCTTAGGACAGAGCATGTCACAAGATAAATGGAAGGGAATGAATGGACTGTATATGAAGTGTTAAGCTGTAGACGGTGGAAGAGACGTAACTAATGCGAGCCCATTGGGGACTGTCTACTGTCTGAAATGGGTGGATGTGAGCCATGCCACTTGCAGGGTACGGGAGAACGGCAACGTATCCGAAGGGAAGGCGGAGGGTCCTATGGTCTGTATATGTGTTGTTAGTACTGAATATGAGTCAACTGTAGGCCGTAGCCATAGAGTAAGTAGGAACTAAGGGACGCCGTGACATAAGTTTTTTCGCCATTTTAACGTTACTGTGTATGCTCCTTTAACCTACATGGATAGTATGTGCTGCCATTTCTTTGCTTCAGGAATATCGATACACATAATGTCAACTCAGATGTGCCATGCACGTTTGGGTCGATTGATCTGCTTGGTATGAGCATGTATGATATACTTACTTCCTGATTTTGTGTCCAGATTTCCGCCTGAGAAAAGAAAGATAACTGTTAGTTAACAATTAGCATGATCACGGGTACAGTCATAGCTGTTAATCCTGCACAGCTATTTAAGTATCAAAACTGATATGTTCTGCGTGTTTAGAAATTTCTAGATTAATACTGAAAACCGTGGTGAAAAGGCAGGAAAACACCGTCCTAATTAAGTTAAGTCGAACTTCACACTGTACCTATCTTTATCCAAGCATCACGCAGGGACACGCACTATAATAACACCGAAACTTATCGAGAAAGATAATGATAAATGACTCATAATTTGCTGATGCTTAATGCGTCCAATTATATCGACATCTTATAGCTTCTGAGTTAACAAAAAATGAGGGCATGCGTGCATTTTGCATTAACGTTATTGGCGGCTCCAACATTTTGTCATTAAATGATGACTTAATTCACGTAGCTAGAGAAATACAATATGGATTAAGACTCCAGCGTGCTGTGCAACCTTTTCAACAACCAACTCTGTAGGTACATTAATTATACATATATACCTGTAATAAATTGTGTAAACAATAATGAACAATAAATGAATTTACAACGTGGCTTTGAGCGTAATACCAAAATAGCTTAATACTTAATAGCAAAGTACTTAAGGTAGCTCTGAAAGTTAATAAGCGAATGATCATTTACGCACTTACCACCAAAGCGAGTAGCCAATCCACCAGTGTCAGCGTTTCTTGCCATGGCTGAAACGAAGATTATTCTTAGTCAAATGTCCGTGTCAAAGCTCAGTTGAGATTCCCCAGTAAACAAACAAGAGCCTTGGAATCTCGCTGGTACAGCCCAGATTGAAGCCGTTCTGCAGAGCTCGATGTATTGATGTTGATGCCGACTCAATAGAGGGGATAATGGAGTCATATGATGTTCCATCCGTCAGCCTCTCAGACGTCAGTTGACTGGAATGGTAGACTGTGCCGGCATACCGCTTATTGCGCAATTATGCGCGTCTGTGGTGAACGTGGGGGCACAGCAGAAGATGTGTCATTTGAACGTTAAGTTTTGACCTGCGTGATGAGCGACACAGCTTGTCGTTCCAGTCAACTGGTTTCTTGCGAATGGGCTAAACATCATTTGCAGTTGATCTATATACGCATTATATTACAGGGATGTTGTTATATTACGAAACGTTTATTGCTGCTATTCACTAATCAAGTTCACTGATAGATTTAGGTGGGAAGGGCATTGGGTGAAATCGCCCTGCTGCAGTGTCCAAAGTTAACCCGCGCCCCTACCACCCGTAGGGGGGGGGGGGCGTTTCGGCCCCCCCCTAAGATCTCGGAAAGTTACCGGCCGATTTTCAAAATTCAAACGGCGTTCGATAGCCCCACCCGTGAACTACCTTGTAACCAAATTTCATTGACCTAGGTCAAACCGATGACGTCACAGGTCAGGTCAAAGGTCAGATTTTCACCGTTCACAGGCATTTCAAGAAATGTGTTGTGAAATCGAGTAAATTGGTAATTTATTGAAAACCATCGATGGTACATTGTTCGTCAAACACATACTTTGCTATCTGAGGTCACTGATACCAGGTCAGGTCACAGTGAGGTCAGGTCACCGGGGGTCACAATATGAAAGTGTCGTGTGATGCATGTTTTATGGTCCATTTTACATGACAAATGCGATTATGTGGGTTAGGCAGCCTTTGGGGCCAGCCTAGGTCACGTTTTGGTGAAGGTCAGGTCAAGGTCAGGTCAAATTAGGTCAAATTTCAAAGTTGATATTTTTGCATAAAATGGGTATCCATTCGATGCAGCTCGTCACGGGGAGTCAAATGGTGGTCTTTGTTTTGCTCTACGAGGTCTAGAATTGCCAAAAATTGAGTTTGAAAATTTGACGTCATCATTTTTGAACATTTTTTTTGCTATAACTTGGCCAAAAAACGAGGTATCGATCTGAAATTTGGTATGTAGATAGAAGACGGTAGAGACTATCACATATATTCCGGTTTTTTTCGAAACTCAAAAAACTGTTTGGATTTTTTGGCTAATATATCCAAAAAAATGCTTTTTTTATTTTTGGGGGTCAAAACTCAAAAATTTCAAAAATCAGAGATAGCAGTTTTGTAGCCCAGTCAATTCTACACCTTTTATGTTTTGATCATTTTTCTGTATCTTCAAAGCTGTAGGCCTGACAGGTCTTCTCGCGAAGGCCTTTTTTCGGTCGAAAATGACAGAACATGACGTCATTCTGACGTCATTTGTGGCCAACCCATCATAGCATTTGGAAAACAATTTTGGTCACAATGTGTAAAATTGATGCCCGGAGGGGTCCTGAAAGTTTGGTGGCGATATCTCCAGCCGTTTAGGAGATATCGACCGAAAAGGACAGGGGGGCCGTTTCGGCCCCCCCCCCCCCTACGGGGCGCGGGTTAATGATATTATGTTGCTTTCTTCGAATCAAAAGAAAGCGATACATCTGGCATGAAAAATGCTTAAAATTGCCCCGATAGTTTTTTTTTAATTTGCATATTTTGAGGGAAAATGGTTCAATAGTACCTGCTGGAGGCACCAGTCCTAGTAGGTACTAGGTACTGCTATTGCGTTCATGTATATTACGGATGGTTACTGGTTAGATATGTTTTACAACTTATGTACTCCACACAATTGACGGTGAACAATCGAGACGAGCAGTAAGTTATACATATAATGAGAAAAGATGCAATCGAGCTGTGGCTCATCAGTCATCATTTGTGCATACGCATGGAATATCACAAGCGATAGTTATTCGGAAATAGCCCTATCGGTGGCGCACACCACTCTCCAATGTTTATACAAGTTTTGACGTCACTGGCCGGGTCCAGATGCATCGGGAGACGTCACTGAGTGGTGGGCGCCGGAATATATGTCCTGCCTGACGGAAATGCGCTTAGGGAGGTAAGTCTGCAGGCTCATAAGAGCGATGAAGATAACTAAAATATGCGCAATATAATGAGTAGACAGCTTTGTGCCTAAGCTCTGAAGTTTGAACCATACGGGATAAACCGATGGCATAAACAAACGCATGATTGTTTTACTTACTTTGAACGTCGTATCGGAGACGGCTGGGCTGGTCGACCAAGCGCTCCAAGTCGCGGATGTTTTTGGCTTTGCTCAACGCCTCAGCCATGTAGATCGGAAGCTGGAAAATCGTGCAATGTATTAAACAACCGTATAAACAGCCGTTTAACCGTATTGTTAATAATATTTAAGGCATTATGGATTAGTTTAAGGATAAATGACAGACCGATAGATACAAATAACGCTAGGTACTTAAACTTATGCTGGAAATGAAATTGCTCAATTAAAAATTTTTCTTTTCGTAGTTCAATAGTTTGGTCTAGTATCCTAAAAATGAAGCACTTACGCGTGTAAAGCCTCACTTGAGTTGTCTTCAAAGGATATATTCTATTTTTGTCAAGGAATAAGAGCTTGTACTCACCCCCTCGAGCCTGTTGGATCTGTCGAACTCATCCCCCGGGTAGTTGATGGACTGTGACGGCTGCCAGGTGGAGGTCCCGTACCTGGTGCGGGGATCACCACAGACGGCACCAATCACCAGCACTAACACCGTCGAGCGCACCACCGCCGGCCTCATATCGACTGTCTGCCGCTTTGACTAGATCCAAATCTGCCTCGCCTCTCGCCTATATCTACCTCGTGTCTCGATCAGTCTGTCTATCTCAGTCCCAGATCCGAGCCTCTCGCTCTCGCCTCCACTGCGGTCACGACTTCCCAGCGATCACTGAGCCGCCGGCGCCGGCGTGCAGACTTTTGGTCCGAGCGAGAGGGGGGACGGGGTCCGGTCGGGGGGGGGGGGGGCTCGCTCCAGGCTCTCGGCTCGCGGCGGTGCGGGGTCTGTGTTTACAGTGGTCGTGACGAAATGCAGAGCACGACGCAGTGCCCCCTGGCATTTCTCCGAACGGCGGGTCGAGTCAGGGCGCCACGCCGCGCTGCTCGGGTTTCGGCCATCCCAACCGAACCGCTGCCAACAGGCCGGCCGAGGGACAGAGCCGGCGATGACGAACCCTCTCAGAGCAATGACACTCGTTTCCGGACGCATTGAGTCAGGGCGGTAGACAAGGGCCTCGGGCGGGGGCGGAGATAGGGAGGATCAAGACAGCTAAAACCATCCGCTTTTACGGCGCGATTCACTGCAACGGCACGTTTTCCTTTCCGACACGTGTGACACGTGCAATATGTATCTACACGTGTCTACAAAGACCCACCCGTCCGTGCATCGGCCCCTCCCCTCGGACGTGCCCGCCCGGTCACCCATAGGCACCCCGTGACGTGACGCGTGACGCCCGGCCGGTGACGTGACTGCAGCCGACACCGGGGTGACGGCGTCACTACCGCGTGCAGCTGGGACGTGCCGCAATACAAAGCCGAGGGGCAGTCGGACGCGGCTCAGACTCACATCGACTCAGCAAAGTGCGGCTGCATAAACCAATAAGCCCGATCAAGTGCAGGAAATCCGCGTTCCGTGCGCGTACGCGCGGCCGCCGTCTGACATGCCTGATGTGAACCATTCCACGTTCCGACGAAGTGGACGGGCAGCACCCGGAAGACGGTGACCAATCGAGTTACGGTGAACGCAACTGGGCCGGAAGCGGGACGCGGGAAGAGCTCTCCCGATAGCACGGGAAGTCGACCGACCGCGGCCCACCACTGTGTTGCATCAGTACGGTTATACGGCTGCGGTGCAGTTGCGGGTTCGGGGGTATGTGCTTTTTGGGAATGTGGGCGAGTGGAGAACGGGTTTGGATGTGTGTCCGAACACCTTGTGGTAGCTGTGAGGTAACGGGTTGATCGATGGTATCTCTGAGAAATGGGGGCCAGAGGAACCTGTTTACTTTGCAGAACATCCCGTTTTCGTATGTAGCATAATTTTGATGGTCAGAGCCGGTTTAAAATTCACCGGTTGTGTAAATAATTGGGACTGGTTTTCGTGTCTCCCTGTCTACGACCAAACAAACTCGTTTTGTGATTCAGCAAGTGCAGATATGGTACCTACGTAGAATTATATTTCTAGAGACGCCCTTTTGCGGAATTGCTGTTAAAACATCCGTCTTCTATGTGACTCACTTGTATATGCGTACATCACATTCGGCTCTTGACTAATGAGGGCTGAAATGGGAGTCTGTCATAGATCAGTGGGGAACCGGAGTACGAGGCTCAGGTCGGGTGTTTGCACAATGGTGATTATGCCACGGCACCGAACGATTATCTTTGATTATGGGTTAGATACGAACTCACTGTACCGGTCGAACGGACGAGAATGCATTTTATGTACAGCGCAGCCTCCTTATTTGTACTGTTTTACCCAACAAACCTGTTTTGTTCTTAGGGAAAAAAGGCCGCTTTGCAGATATTCGGCTTATAGCGAATATCATGAATCTTGCACCTTTATAATATTGTCGTTACTTCATTGCGAATCGCTCTATTGCGGGACATAGCCTATGATCATCGTTAGGTAGGCAGAGGATGTAGGCATGCAGAGTGATTCGATGCACTATAAATAGCTCGACCCACAGGCCACAACCGTGGATAACTCGTTTTATGCGAACTTTTATCCCAGGTAATAATTTGGCTTTTCTTCGCAGTTCAAACCACTGATCTACGACTTTTCCAGTCGAGAAGAAAACTAAGATGATGGGACATTAAATGGCGACCTTTATGCTTATAAGCGTTTCCCTCCGAGTACCGACTTTTTCAGAGAGCGCATTAATACATTGCTCTATCTCCTGACGTACCCAGGGGTACGTCACAGCATATTACCCTGCGTCACCTCAGTCCTCATGTGCCGGCCGTATTAGACCAATTGGGACGGATTAAGCTAGTTGTGGAGCTGGAATTGTGACAAAGCCGAGGGCTTTTACGCGAATGACGCCATACGGCAATAAGGTCAATGAACTAAGTGAGTTACAGTGTGTGGGGGGCAGGGCTATACTCGTGTGCTTCAGCTCGCTTTTGTTTTATAAGGCGTACGAAACGAAAAGGCTACTCTCATGCGCATATAAGTGTCATGCCTATCTAGATATAGGTAGGTATGGGCGCTGTGATGTAATTAGGTATAGGTATTTCAATAACGCGCAAATTTTTCATTTTGATATAGAAGGATACAGAAATTTGACCTAGTAGTCCACCGATATCATTTATGCGTACATACCTACCATTACCTACTTACTGTGTTGCATAGATAACATGCATAGATTCATGTTATCTATGTGTGTTGTTTTCCGTCCTGCGGTATCGTCTAGTTTAATTAAGCCCGCGAAAAACATTCCGACATCCGAATATCTATGATCACCTTTTTAGCTCTATTTTGAGCGCCACCGGCGTCGGTGTTCACCTGTGACCTGGCCGTGACCTGTGGGTCGGTACGGGGACACCTCAGTGTGGGTGGGGTCCCGTCGTGTCCTGCAGCGGCAAACACCTGCAGTCAGTAGAGGCTCAGAGGCCGGTGCCGTTGGAGTCGGTGGTGGGTGCCGTTCCCGATCCCGGTTCGACGCACGCTCCCGAGTGACGGTGACCTGGCGAGGTCGAACTCGACATACAGCCTGCTGGCGCTGTATAAAGTCGGCCATGCTGCACCTGCTGGTGGTTTTACTCGCTATCCTGGGTATCGCAGTGGTAGTGAGAATACTTCTGGAGAGCAGGAAAAATTATGCACCCGGTAAGATCTGTTAATTCCGCAGTTACAATAAATGTTACGAAACGCTTGCGCTCATCAAATTAACATCAATTTACCTCTGTGCTCAATGAGCCAACGAGAGTATTGAAAAGCGACCGTTAAATTTCATGTGGCTCTAATTCGAAGTCCGATGCCCAGTCATTCCGCCGTCCCAGCGACAGTGCATATTTGTCTGCAAGGGTGATGAACTTAATCCTAATATTTAGTGAGCCAGTTCATGTAACAAAGTCAAGGGCAGTTTTAATTACGTTAAGTCGTCCACATTTGAAACGGTTTATGGCTGTTTCCACAGGTCCGTTCAGCTTTCCATTTCTGGGGTACTATGGCCAGGGCAGGCTCATCAACAAGCTCCTTCACAAGGAGTTCGAGACCTTGGGCACCAAGTACGGCAACATCATCTTCTTCAAGCTCTTCATGGACCAGCCGGTACTGGTTGTTCGCGGATATGATTTGGTCAAGGTAAATCATAGAATATGCACTCGGGATACCAAAAGCAAACATTTCCTTGTTCTACACGACAGAGTTTTGAAGAAGAAAAAAATGTTGTGTACGCATAACTACAAGGTCCTCATCTCGAGTATAAGCTCCCACAGTAAATGTCGGAAAGGACGCAAACGAGATGTGGGACAGCCAGCTGGTAAAGATATAACGAAAACGAACAGCCTTACAAATAGACTCAATACCAATTAATTACGCGAGAGTAGAGTTGTGGACACTGAACTTCCTTACAAAGGAAGCGCAATTCGAGAACAAAGTCGCGTAAGTTGAAGCATGTCAGTAGAGTATCAGGCTACCGATATCGACGCACCGTCCTAACGCCACCTCCCCCGCCTGCTGACAGGAGGCGACGTCTAGCCGCGCCTTCTCGGGCGTGGGCCAGCCGCTCATGTTCCGGGAGGCGGCACTCCACCGGCGGCTCGGGCTCATCTTCTCTGACGGCGACAACTGGGGTCAGATGCGCCGCTTCACCGTCCGTGCCCTACAGGAGCAGGGTTTCGGGCGCAGTCGGCGCTCGGACAACATCAACTCTGAGCTGGGAGAGGTGCTGGCGCGGCTGTCGGCGGCGGCGGACGGCGGGGGAGGAGTCCACGTGCGCCACCTGTTCACGGCGCCGGCAGCCAACTCGCTGCTGCAGCTGGTACTCGGAGAGAAGATGCCGGGGGACGGCCGACTGCAGCGCGCGCTCTACCTCGTCGACAGGAACACGGCCGCCTTCAGTCCGTCCTACCTGCACCTGGAGTTGTTTCCCTGGCTGAGACTCGTGGCGCCGCGGGCCTCCGGCTTCCTCGAGCTCCGACAGAGCATCCTCGAGTTGGTACACCTCTTCGACCCGCAAATCGAACGGCATAAGTCTGCTTTGGACGACGCTAAACACCACGGGCCGCCCAGTGACTTGGTTGAAGCCTTTTTACGAAAACAGAGCGACTCCGCACCGCCTCACGCCTTCTCTAACGACAACCTCAGAGTCCTGCTGCGCGACCTGTTCGTTGCCGGCATGGACACGGCCAGCACAGTGATGGAGTGGGTGGTGATGATGCTGGTCCAGCACCCTGAAGCGCAGGAGCGAGCCGCGGCTGAGGTCGAGGAAGTGATCGGTCGGGATCGCGCGCCCTCCATTGACGACATGCAGATGCTACCCTACGTCGACGCCTTCATCGAGGAGACGATGCGGATGAACCCCGTCCTTCCCGTGATCCAGCACTCGACCACATTCGGCGCTGCTCGACTGGGTGGTCACCACGTACCGGCCAACTGTCGGGTCATCTTCGACTTCCGCAGTGTGATGCACGAGCGGTCCTTCTGGGGCGACCCGGAGCAGTTTCGGCCGGAGCGGTTCCTCGGTCCGGACGGGCCGCGACTCAGGGGGAGGATGTCCGCCTTCGGGATGGGTCTCCGGCGCTGTATCGGGGAGACGCACGCTCGCCAGGTGCTGTTTCTGTTCACGGCCGGGATTCTGCAGCGGTTCAGACTGGAGTGCGTGGATGTGGGGCGGCGGGAGACGGGTGGAGATGAGCTAAGCCTGGTATTGAAACCGCCAGATATCGTAGTCACCGTGGAGCGCAGGGGCTGAGGACAGGTCTCTGGGTGTCGAGTCAGAATACTCATCTGATATGTCTACCCACGGCAGGATGTTCTTTTCTTACCACTAGATCGTTAGATTTGAGGATTATGCGGCACAATACGCGAGCTCCGAACCAGTCAGATCAGTGTTGAAAGGTTGCAAAGTTATTTGTTCAACGGTGACGGGCTTTCACGATGAATACACCATGTTCCGACAGCGATTATATAAGAAATAATAATTGAAGCCCTATAGTATCATTTTTGTTTCGAAGGCTTATCGAACTTGGCAAACCTTCGCCTAAAAATTACGGTACTGATAAGCACTTATTAGAAGCAACATTCCAACACATCACAAACATCTCACGTCTCATGACAGCACGTGTATTGGACCACACTTCACAGCTCGCTACAGAGATGAACGCTGGCACTTGGGTAGCCCTGGGGGCCATATCAGCTGCTGCTCGCGGGCGTCCCACCGGGCCACATCAGCCTTTACACCGGTGTGCAACAGGCCCGGCCGGCCGGAAAGAGTCACACAGCGGACGAGAGATCAGGAGACGAAAGCCATACTGCCCAGCACATAGTTCATCGCTCAGCACGTCATAGGAACCACTGGAACACTCGAGAGGAGAGGGAGGCAGAAAAGGGCGTCAGCGGACTGGCAAGGAATACAGATCATGATTCGACTGTTACACGGTCCTATAGACCAGACACATGATTGTTCCGGATCGATAGATACCCGCAGCACCCGTCCTGTCCTGAGTATGTGCTACTCGTTGTATCTGTTGCGCCTGACACCGCTCAAAAGGCCCGGGAGACGGGACGACTTTACTGTGAGCCACCCCACCCACACTGACTCTCAGAGTTCCTGTGACCACCCGTGGCACTTCCCTCCCGTTTATCACACCATCACGATATGTAAGCGCATCTCGCATGCCTGCCACGTGTCACACGTGTGCCACGTTTCACTTACACGTGTCACGAGTCGCCGAACAGATCGGCCAGCGAGACCATGTCGACTGCGGCCCGCTCCGGTCTCGTCTTGTTCGGCAGGGGCAGGAGATTCCTGATGGAGGCCTTCTTCTGGAATAGCTGACTGAGACTCCGACTCACCAGCTGACGACACACAGAACGGAGAGTGGTGGTCAGAGGTATTATGGTCGCAGTGGTAACAATATTTGGTACCTACCGAATCAACAAGGGAAATCAAGCTGAATATAACTCTTGGCAACCATTGCGTAAGAAATAGTACAGAACCTGTACTATTACGCTATTTAGCTAGGATATCTGATATCCTTGCTAAATAGCGTATCAAGTTAAGAATATGTATTGTAAGATGAGTGGTTGGCAAGACAGGTCATAGGCATGAGGCTCACTCTTTGAGGAATAATTACTGCCGTATGAGCAGGGTCGTCAAAGCTCTGACGTACCGGCTTGATGACCCGTTTGACCTCTTCTTTCTTCAGTTTGTCGCTGGCGGCGATTTTGGGCGTTCTGAACACCCTCTCCTCGAGCGTGCGAACCATCTCCGGGGTCACCTCCGGTATCTGACTCATCACCTGGGAACATAGGACGAGACGTTAGCGTGGTGAATGTAGGCATTTGTTGGCAATTGAATCTATCATGTACATAATCCACTGTTATATGAGTGTCGCGTTCCCGCCCGATTGCAATTGCATCATTCGCCGGTAGCTAAAAAAAAACTTCATTCACTAATGCACGACATTCCGCTTCCTCTATGCACATACACATTGCACATTCTTCAACCCGCGCCCCACTGGGGTCTGCGTATAACACGCCCTACTGGTGGGGGGGTGGGGGGGGCTCTCCATAGCCCCCCCCCTCCTAACTCCGAAACTACTGGGCCGATCGTCAAAATTCAAACGGCGCCTGATAGCCCCGGAAAAACTGTCGAACGAAACCTAATTTCATTGACCTCGAGGTCACCGATGACGTCACAGGTCAGGTCAAAGTAAAAGTTATTAGCATTTTGGCTTGTTCACATTTTGGGCTCTGGCCGCCGTCTTACAAGTCAGATCAGGCTTATTTTTGGTTTACACACTCGTGAACAGATGCTCTAGAAACCTTGAGGGTACCAAACTTGTACTTTAATTTTCAGGTCAGGGTCAGGTCATCACAGGTCACGGAAATATTATATCATGCGTCGGTCACGTGACACATGTTTTATGGTCCATTTAGGTCATACATTTCGAATTTGATGTCGTCTGTGTCATTCGAGGTCATTTTGAGTCGAATTTAGCTTAGGTCAGGTCACTTTCAGGTCAAAAAACGTCAAATTTTGAAGTTAAAATTTTTCAACAAAAAAGGTGTCTATTGGATGCAGTTTGAGCTCAGGAACACGATGGTGCTATTTATATTGGTGTACGATGTCAAATACGTACTGAAAAATTGATTTGAAAAATTAATAATTGTGAATTTTTGCAATAATGCGTATAACTTGGCCATTTTTGAAGATATTTAGCTAAAACTTGCTAGAGTTAGTCATAAGCATGCGTTCTGTCACATATATTCCGTTTTTTCGAAAAATGAAAAAAATTGAAAAAAATAAAAATATAAATTTTGAATATTATTATATAAAATTTTCGAAATTCTCAAAACTTTGAAAATCCGAGATAGCAGTTTAATAGCGCAGTCAATTTTGAGTCCTTTCATGCAAAGAAATTATCTAGCTCAAAAACTGAGCTCTTGGGAGCGATTGCCGTGGTTCAATGTTTTGCGTCGAAATCGGCCGAACATGACGTCACTCTGACGTCATTTTCGGCCGACCTATGGTAGCTACGAAATTCAAATTTTAACACAAGGTGTCAAATTGATGCAGCCGAAGGTACTGAAAGTTAGGCGTCGATACGTAAAGTGGTTTGGAAGTTATTGCAGAAAAACGAGAGGCGGGGGGCTATGAATACTGCCCCCCCCCCCCCCAGTGCACACAGCCGCTATTTGAGTTCGGAAGTGGCCAAAATGCGATAACTCGTTAACCAGTTGACATTTTGCCAAGGAATTTTTATTATATGTGAAGTCAACCTTAAGGTCACGTATGGGAACGTATGAGCATCCATGCTGATACAGCATTGCCGTAAAAAATATGTTTGCTTGTAATCCGCGGATGACGGGTATATCCCATAATGTGGGTGACTCGGGAGGGGATTCTGCATAGCTTCCCTGCTGTCTTCGAAACTACTCGTTCAATACTAAAAATTCTAACGGCTTCTATAGGAATAGCTGACAAACGAAACCTAACTTTGTTTGTATCAAGGTTACCGATGAAGTCAAAGGTCAACTCAAAATTAAAGCTGACAGCATTTTGGTGTGTACACAGTTTAGGCTCTTGCCACCGCTTTAGTCACATTGATCTCATTTTTTGTTTACAAACTTATAGATATGTGCTCTATGTCCTATAAGGGTACGACTGCGAAGTCTGTAGTTGGTATGCATCAGGTCAAAACTAGGTCACGCTGGGTCACAAAAAGTCATGGAAGTTTTTGGAGATGTATACATGTTTTAGGTCATGCGACACATCTTTAATGGTCCATTTCGGCAAAAGCATCCAAAAATGATATCATCTGGGTCGTCCGATTCGAAACTATTTCCATCGACAAATGAAGGTCAGGTCACGTCGAGGTCAAAAGGGTCAAAATTTGAAGTTGAACATTCTCTACAAAAAAGATGTGCATCGGATGCAATATGAGCTCTGCGGAACACGATGATACTATTCGTTTTGGTTTTCGATGTCAAGAACGTACTGCAATTGCCGTTGCAATATCGATGCCCAATTGTGATGAACCGACTACGGTAAAATGCAAAGGCCGATAACATTGCCATTTCTGAAGATATCTGACTGAAACTTTCCAAAAGCAATGCAAATGTTACATATAAAAGCCAATAAGGTGCATTCTGGCCGATGGCTGCTCCCAAAACTCTGAATGTTATCAACCATATCTGACATTTTTACGATGTTCTATTGGCTGGATGTCTTTTTGCTTTATTGAACTTGATCAGACTACATTCAATTAAGACGACGTACATTTATTGGTCACCAGAAAGTATACCCACAAGTCAATCGACAATCGAATTCGACAACCAACAAATGCAATCGACACGAGCGACGAGCACCCCTCCGCAAAAGCAACTGCGGGACGGCGATTAGACGGGCCGCGCTCCTCTCTCGCAGCTGACTGGTCAGCTGCCGAACCGCACGGACGTCAGCTGCGCGGCCGCCGCCCGGCCAACCTGACCAGGGTGAGGGTCGGCCGGGCGGCGACCTAGCGTCACTAGAACTGCAATAACTTTTGCCGGCAGTGTGATGCCGACCTAATTTTTTCGGCAAATGAATCACAATTGTACGATATATGTTATGAACGTTGTCTCAATGTGAAGCACGCTGTGCGTTTTTTTTTTGTAGGCCTATGTAAATATTGAAATCCATAAGCCCTTCTGCTTTGTACAAGTGTGCAACAATTAGCTTACAATAACTGAGTGGGAAGCTTTTTAGATGCATTTTTGTTATCAATGGATTCCGCACATTTTCCCCTTTCAGCTGATATCTTACTTCCGCATTTTCAAGTAAAGAATATGACAAGAGATTCATAAACATTTACATGAAAATCGCAGCACAAGTTCGGTCTCACGGAGCAAAACAAAACGGTATACTTTGGGAGCCCACCAATCTGTGCCAGAATGAGTAATATTTTTTCTGGATGATATTTTATACAGTCTGATCAATTTACGACCAGAAAATGTGAGAAAAGCACGCTTTAAAATTTGTCGAAAATTAGGGTATTGGCCACTTCTGAACCCGAATAGCGGCTGTGTGCAGTGGGGCGCGGGTTAAAACTAGTAATTAAGTAAGTAAAGTAATTCGTCGTCCAACTTTATCGCTTTATAGTAACTTTATAGCTAATTATGACTTGCGTCACACAGTCGTTAACCACACCACACCGCCGAAGTGCGGACACATTAACTGACCGTGTCCACAGCGGTGGTGTGGTTGGGCCGCAGCCGCACGTAGGCCGCCGTGATGGACGTCACCAGGCTGGTAAAGTTGGCCATGTGGTGACCCTGTACCTCCAGCCCGTGTAGCAGCCAGTACAGCACCTGACTGGAACGACGACACACGGGGGGGTCAATGCACGATAAAAACAGAGATGAGTTCACAAAAGGGTGTGCTAGACACATAACACCAGTAGACGGGAGAAGCGCTGAAGAGGGGACCCCAAGTGACAATCATGACAGGTACGCAGTCGTGACCTACGTTGACCCTTCGCTAACCCTGACGTCATGACCCAGCGACCAGCAGTGACCTCAACTGACCCGTTCAATAACCCGACGTAACAACGCCCGACCCCAGCAATGCTCCTGACCTCGAATGACCTATTCGTGAGCTCTGACTAGCCCGAGCGGTGACCCGCAAATCAGTGACCCCGACCGACCCTTGCCATGACCTTCACCACACTCAGTGACCCCGCACAACTGACCTGGCGGCGGCGTCATCGACCAGCTCGGCGTCCGTCATGGCCTTGACCAGCAGCAGGGCGAGGTCAGAGGCCTTCAGGGCGGCCACAGAGTCGCCCCAGCCCACCGTCCTGCCGACACAATCACCGGACAGTGACAGCGGACGCGGGTCAAACAACAAACACTGCACTGCCACAGTTCACTAATACACCGTAAACATATAACAGCAAAGAGAAGGTACTATCAAAATAAAACAGCAATGATAAAAACCGGTCACAAACAAACAAGAAACACGGGAATCACGAGATTGAGTGACAAGGACAATAATGCATTAACGAAAGGTCATCAATAAACATGCCATAAAACCGAGCGGTGACCATACAATCCTGGGTTATCCTTCCAAGCAGCCATCCCATACCGCTCACCTGAACACCAGAGTGAGCAGCGGCCGGGCCAGCTGGGGGCAGCGCAGCGCCGCCAGCCCCGCGGCCGAGACCGCCGCCTTTCCCGGCGCCGCCGGTGCCGAGGGGGCGTCCTCCTCCATAGTATCATCGTCAGCGGAGGCGGTGATGGTGGCGCCGGTCCCGGCGGCCGTCAGAAGACAGGTGGCCAGCTGGACCGACTCGCGGGTCACCTGACGCAGCAGCAGCTCGGCAAGCACAGCCTGGGGTGAGGCAGGGGAAGCGGAGCGTCAGAAGCGGAGCAGGAGGACGGTATTGGAGCGAAGTGAGTTATGTGGTACTCTGCGTTAGATGAGAAATGAATATTGAAGTTCACAGAATTTGTGAGGACTTTTGTCTTGCTGAAAAACTGGACGCAAGATGTCCTACTCGTGTTCCACACGTTTCTCAAAATTATGGGCTTGTAATGTCTCAACTCCCTGCGTTTCGTACTATTTACCTCGGTATCTTCTTCCTCCTGTTCCTCTCCAGCGGCGGGCGCGGCGGCAGCGGCCGCCTGGACGGCTGCCCAACGGGTGTCCAGCCTCTCCACCAGGTGGTCCAGCAGTACGGCCAGCGGCGGCAGCAGCTGCTGCTCCAGCAGCTCGGCCGGACAGCGCAGCAGCAGCGTGCGCCACAGGCTGCGTAGCTGAAAGACGCACAGACGCGGTGTTAGACATGGTGTCAGGGAATGCTGGGGGCATCGCTCAGCTTTTACAGATGGTGCTATTGATAGTGCTGAGCCAGACTTAGTGCCTATTCAGGGTACTTCAATAGATGCCATCATTGTTCGACGATTGCAAACAAACAGATGCAAGCACACGAAGGTCAGGGGCATCATAGTCACAGAGAGCCGAACAAAAACAGTTCGAGGGCCATCAGATGGTACGAACTTGGCACGTTACATGAAAAGATGACTGGTGCTATTTTTGGCCACACTCATACAACTAGTCACTGTTCAATGGCCACATGCCAATGTCATCGCATAGACGGAGCGGGCTGGGGACCAAAATACACACCAATAGATAAAACCAAAGTAAAAATCGTACAGTGAACACATTAAAAGAAAATGGTAGGTGGCGAGGAGACCACAAAAATGAGCAAAACATTTCTACCCCCCCCCCCCCCCCCCAGAAGGTATTTGATGCTCTTTCTTCTGTACCCTAACTCTAGCACTAAACTCTACCTTAAGTTCCTAACACTTATCCACTCAATCCTTTAGAACAGCGCCCCCTCCTCGCGGTTCCTCAACTGACCTGGACGCGCAGCCGGTGGTCGGAGAGGTGCGGCAGGCAGTGCAGTACACTCCCCGCCAGGTAGTCGGACAGCCGAGGCACGGCAAACAGCTCCGCCGGCAGCGTGTTGGCCGCGTTCACCAGTACGCCGTGGCACGTCTCGTACAGGTAGCTGATGAATCCCTGGATCCGCTCCAGCGGCGAGCGCTGTCCGTTGGAGCCGCTGTCACCGGACGCCTTCTCTGGCTGAGCAGAGAGCAGCGCGAGTTTCACAGGTGCCGACAGCTGCAGAGCGCCGCGCAGCTCCGGGTGAAGGCGCGCCACGTTCTCGGGGGAGTCGAGCGCCGACAGTGCGCGCAACAGCTGGAAGATGAGCGGCAGGCGAGGGAGGATGTGCGGCGCGCACGGGTTGCGCACGGCGCCCGTGGCCGGGTCCAGGAACCCGCCGTCTCGCCGCCGGTCCGGGTCGTCAGGCACGCGGCAGCGCAGCAGCACACTGCTCAGCAGGTTCACAAGCAGGGTCAGCTGAGAGCGCGCCTGCTGGCGCTCCACGTCCGCCGACGTCTCGGCAGAGCTCAGCAGAGGCGGCGGCGGGGCGTCCAGCCCCACGGCGGTCATCAGCGCGGCCGGGGAGCGGCACACCTCGGCCAGCGCCTGCCAGGCGGTCAGGTGCGGCTCCAGCAGCGCGCCGATCAGCTCACTCTGCTGCTGGTAGTCGCCGATCCGGGCGTGCACCAGCACCAGCAGCTCAGTCAGTGTGACGCCCTCCTGCGCGCCCAGACGGCCCGGCTCGGCCAGCAGCTCGCGCACGCGGCCGGCCAGCAGCGCCCAGTGCGCGCCCAGCGCCGCCGGCTGGCGCACGGCCAGCGCCAGCAGCGCGTTACAGCCGTGGCGGCGCAGATCGCGGCCGGCTCGGTCCGTCTCCGACTCGGGCGGGAAGGTGACCGCCTCGAACAGGCGCTCCAGCACGGCGGGCGTCTGGTGCGGGCAGCGCGGCAGGAAGGCCGTCAGTGAGGAGACCAGCGACACTAGCAGGGAGAGCACTTGAGGGTCGGCGGAGCGGCGGCCCAGGCAGACGCCGAGCAGCGCCGAGCCGCGCTCCGCCTGCTCCGGCAGCTCGGCGGCGCGCGGCGCCACGTGGTCTGTGAGGTAGACGGCAGTAGACCAGTCTTTGAGGGTGTCTGAGCCGGCCGGCAGCCGCGGCGGCCCGGCGTCCGACGCCAGAGGGGCAGACACCAGCTGCGACACGCCCTCACAGAGCAGCGCGAACGTGGCGGCGGGCGCGGCGGCTGCCAGCGAGCGCAGCGTCTCTATCGCCTCGGGTCTCGCTCTGTCTGCGTCCTCTTCTCCCTCCAAGTAGCGCCACGGCTCTGCGGCCGGGTCAGCGGGGCGCCGAGCGCGCCGCTGCAGCCAGGCGAACAGAGCCGGCGCCACGGCCAGCACCGTCTCGGAGCGGCCCGCCTGACTGTGTCGGAGCAGCGCCGTCCAGGCGGGCAGCAGCAGATCACCCACCGAGCCGCACGGCAGCTGGCACAGGGTCAGCAGCACCTGCAGGAACCGGCCCAGCGTGGGCGGCTCGGCGACCGTCAGCTCGGCGCGGCCCCAGCAGTAGCTGAGCTGGCTGACGGCGCCGGCCAGCGCCTGCGCCAGCAGCCGCAGTGTGGCCAGCAGGGCGTCTGAGGGTGGCTGGCCGGAGCAGATGGACACCTGCTGCTCCAGCAGGCAGACGGGCTCGGAGCGGAACACCACCAGCAGCGGCTCCCGGTCCTCGGCACGCCCGTGGCGGCTGAACAGCTGCACAAGAGGGGGGGGGGGCGAGGGTTACCATAGGGAGGGAGGGAGCCGGAGGTCACAACGGGCAGGGGAGGAGGGAAGGGGGTCACCGAGGAGCAACGGCGGCCGAATTACAGTCGCAGGAAAGGGGGCGAGAGGTTACCCGCGAGAAGCAGTAGCGGCGTACACCTTCAATTAAGGGGGGGGGGGACAATGACGACTTTTGGTCCCATTCTTTCCATGCAACGCCCATAGGGCTAATGTTAAAATGTCAAAATCAAAGGGGGGCACGTTGCCCCGGTGCCCTCCCCGTTCCGCCGCCTATGGCGAGAAGAGAAGACGAACAAAGAGCGGCAAGTAAAGAACGATGAGAGGGTGGCGAAGCTGTTCGAATTTCTGTCTGCAACTATTTCATCATAATTGAAATACTACTGCAGAAAAGCTGTAAGTTATTCTTACTATCCACAATTACATACCAGCATCCCACCATTTCATGGCACGGATCCCTCGACAATCCCTCGCTTCTCTCTGTCCAGCACCCCTCCCGTCTCCCCTCGACTCACCACGACAAGGCACTCGGCGGCCAGCTGCTGAAGGCCGGGCCGGGTCACCAGCCGCAGCAGCAGCAGCAGCAGCGCGTCACCCATCACGTGCTGTACGGCCGCCCACTCCAGGTAGCACGCCAGCGTGTTGAGACACATCTCGGCCAGGGCAGTGTCCTGGCCGTCCGGTGCCGACACACACGTGGTCAGGGTGCCCATCAGGAGGGAGAAGACGTCGTCCATGCTGCCCACCAGGCCGCGGTAGATGTCCCGCCGTCGGCCGGGCACCTCCAGAGTCTGCAAGGCACAGTAGTGGAGGGTCGCTGGTCCGATCAAAAACACATGAGAAGAGCGGACAGACAGAAACAACGCAGACAGACCAAACATCCAAGTCAGACCACCAGATCGTCGTGCCACCAGACATCTCGCACCCCACCCTTACCGGCCTTACCTGAAACGTGGCCACATCCTCGGCCAGTCGGAGGAACACGCGCAGCACCAGTTCGGTGTGCAGGGCGCCGCGCGCCGCCAGCCGGCCCATGTCGGGCACAAACTCGGCGTACTGCTGCGGCCACTCGCGCTTCACCATCTCGACCAGAGGTCGGCAGAGCGCGTCCCGCAGGTGGGCCGGCGCTGACGGGTCCACTGAGGACATCAGGTCCAGACAGGCGTCCTGGCGCGCAGGGAGAGGCGGGGTGGATTGCGTCAAAGGTCAGGGCAGGGCGTGGTTGTCTGTGGAAAACGGTATGGCGTAAGTAAAGCGTGAGGGATAGGTACTGTCCGCTCTTTATCATCCTACTTCGATGTTACAATCAGAAGTATTAAGCCAAAATCTGTCAAAAAAATATTGAGCAACTCGGAATCTCGGTATATCATATACCGAGATTCGGAAATCTCGGTATTCACCGAGATTCGGAAATCTCGGTATTCACCGACATTCGAAGATCTCGGTATTCGCTCAGGGTCATCGATAAGAACAAAGTTCATACCTTCACGAACAACTTCTCTTCCACTGAGAGGTCATTCCAGCGGAACTTGATGGTGTTCTCGATGATCTGCAGTCCAAGATATCTGACCATATTCGGCCGGTGACTGGCAGACAGAAAGACCCCACACTGCAGCGCCAGCGGCGACTCCTTTAGGCGCTCGCACAACTCGTAGGTGCGCTGTCGCTCGCCAGGTGGCAGCGCCGGCGACATTAGCGCCTCCACGGCGGCGGCGGCCTCCGCAGACATCGCCTCCACCTCCGGCGTGAAATTCATCTGCAATTGGAGAACCAAAGGTGTTAGGTGAGTGAGGAGGAGGCTCTGTATAAAAGACACATGTTTGATCACGGGTGTGTGTCATATATCATGCCACCTGGTCCGCATCTCACGATGCGTCGCATATGTCTTTCAAGTAAATATAGAACAAAACAATCAAAGTTGATCTAACCTTACCTACAACCAACAACCTACAAAATCTGCTGTGGCAAATATGAACTGTGGCACAAATGGATGCCTCCTCAATCACAATCAATTATGCAGCTCACAGTTCCACAGTTGACACTTGACGAACATTTTACAATGGCCTATATTCCAGCGTCTCCAGAATAAATTATTGACTGGAGGCTCTACCAAAAGTTTTACTAGAGGTGCTGGAATGCAATCTGGAGATTTCTGGAGATTGTTGTCATGAATACCAAAATAATGATGATGGTTCACCCAAATTCGTGTTGAATTTTAGTAAGAACTAAAAAAAGATACCTGTATAAAATTATGATAATGTAAATTTCTTTACAACAAAGTTTTAAAATTAACAGTCAAACGACCTTTGTTTACATTCATATTTGTCATATGTGCGCCATAATTGTAGACCAAAGCCTCCAGAGAAATGTGGACTCTCGCTCTCTGGAGAATTCTAGAGCTTTCTGGAGGTTTCTGGAGGCGCTGGAACAGCCCCCCTCCCCTGAAGGACTTTGGCAATAGAGCAGGATCGTGCATGATGCTGCTACACTGACACAAGCCCTTTTAAAGTGAGATCAATCTGGCTGGCCAACCCAATGCAAGTAGAAGGAATAGCAGAAAGTAAAAATAGTAGGTTACTCCACTTCAAATTTAGATGCATTCCAAGTTGTCTATGACCAGACGTAACCAGGCATGAAACGACATGTATTTGGAAGAGCGTGAGAATGGTCACTGGTAAATTATCTGACACATTTGGAGCATTTTAATTTGCCTCTCAGGCAGCATTTGAAGACTAAACTTGAAATAGACACAACTTGGTTCATTTCCAAGCATGGGAAGAAAACTGAAAACATTGCACAACACAAGTCTGCTATTAGCTGTACAACAAAGCCTAACAAGGGTGACATATTGGGAGGAATCTGAAACAGGGCGCCTGGGGCAATTTGATCAAGGATCTTGAAATTCCCTAAGATAATCATGTGACAATTCAATTAGCATGTTAAATGCATCAAGAGGAGTATAATATCCCAAAAATTGTGTGACTAAAAAGCCATCTGGACTCTGGTGCCCTGTTTTCAGATTCCACCACATATTGAGAAAGCCTTCAACAACTAATACCCACCTTTGACCTAACCTTACAGTTGGTTTGGGATATAGTTGTGTTGTTACCTACATCATGGGTTTCGAGGCAGTTCCCTTTACCAGTAGTACAATTCAAAAAAGCAAATCAAATATCGACGCTGTAAAAATTAGGGCTTTGGTAAAAATGCACATACCTTTGATACTGAAACGACTGAAACACAATTTGAAGTTGAACTGGTTGATGTTGAATGCGGGGCTTTTGCGAAACTCAAACTGGCAACGGAAACAGTGACAGAGGATGAGCTAAGCACAAGCCGCTGAAAAATTCAGGCGCAACCGCCACCTTTTTTGTAATGCAGATGTGTCTCGATCTAAAAAAAATAACCTTTGAATAATCCAATGCCCGAGGAAACCCGAAATAAGTTATAATCTAACCACATGAACGACGCCCCACAAATGTGTGTGTGTGTGTGCAGTCGCCATAGCCAATCAAATTTACGAAATGTTTCGTCGCAGCTGCGCCATTTCCACTTGCTTTTACTCAAGCACTCTCCGCTAGTAAATTATTAATTGTGGGATCCAGTATAAGTAGCGCTGTTTTAACTTTTAGCCATAGTATCTTTTATGATTTATGGCCATATCACCTACTTACTTAAAACCTAATTGCAAGTATAAAAAAAAATCGTGCGATAAAGATTCGATTCTGAAAAAAACATTTGCTTTGTCCACGTACAACACGGCGGGTGGGTGAGCCTAGCCCATTCTGATCGAAATAAGGTTATCAACAGTGCTTTCCGCGATAACTAATTTTCGGACCTGCGATAACGATAAAACGATAAGACAGGTTTGCGATAACGTTAAACGATAAACGATATTTTTTTTCTAAAAAAATTAACAGCGATAGTGATACAACGATAAAACGATAACGATAATTGTTTTTAACAGCGATAACGAAACGATAAACGATAAAACGATAAGGATAATTGTTTTTTTAACAGCGATAACAAAAGCGATAAGAAATACAGCTTAAGTAAGTGTACTTAAAGTTTATTTGCAGATCTATACACTTAGCAGATGGCAACAGGTTGCACACACATACTGTCGCGCTGCATACACTGTCGATCGTCTTCCATTTTTTCTATCATCCCGTTTTACATTTATCGTTTATCTTTCATGATTTTCATAACTTGCATTAAGTGGATGAGCGATAATTTTGAAAATTTAGCGATAAACGATAACGATAACCGATTATCGTTTAATGTTCATCGCTCATCCTATCGCATGCGGAAACCACTGGTTATCCACACACACCTCTGCTGAACAGAGGGCTATAAAGACCCTTACAAGATGTTTGGTGGACTTAGCCAGTAAGACACCTTTTTGGTGACAAACGAGCGAGCGAGACAGTGTGGAAAAAGTGTGTCGTTAGACGAGCCGAGGCACTGCAAGTAGGTACGGAATTGCAATGCGATACTGGATACAGGATACCTGCGCTCAACTGACTTATTGCGTGCCATCCTTGTTGTTTGTTACTCCAGATACCTCGATACTCTATGGTATACCTAACAATTTCCTCGTTAAAATATAGGCACTTGCAGTGGGTAGTTTCAGTTCCGTTTATTGAAACGTACGTAATGATTGTGGAACACTCCTGTTTCGACTGCATATTTTCATGTTTACAAACGGTAATTTTACCTTAGAAAATTTTCACAAATTCAATGTTATCCACGTTAACACGTCCGTGACAAAAAGTTGAACTCTGTCGCTGTATGATCAGGGGGCATAAACCGTTCCAAGACATTAGACACGCGTCATGTTCAGGTGGCGAAGGTTCCTCCGTTGGGTTTCCGCGAGAAGCCGGCGTTGGTCAGGGTGGTGTGCGGGTTCTCGCAGGCCAGCCGGACCGAGCACGGATGGATGCGCCTCTGCGCCTCCACCACGCGCAGCGGGTGACCCAGCAGCGGCTGCTCAAGGGGCACGTACTTGACACGGTGCTTCAGGGTTTTGCTGTAATAAAGCATACGAATAGTTGCGTTTTAATAGATGGGTATAATAAAATTATGGTATTGTTGCCTGATATGTGTTGATATGCCTCGATATGGCTGATCATTCACGCAAAATGCTTCCTATAATTTACAAAGTCCTGTTCACCGTTTTACTATCGTATCTTAGCGAAGAGGACAACCGCCTAAAACGATGTCGCATATGAGTCTAAGACTTTACATCGTGACAATTTAACCCTATTAGTGGCAGGGGGGGGGGGGGTTGTTTTCATCCACCCCTCAGGTTTTTCGGGAATATCTCCGAAACCGCTGAAGCTACGATGCTGAAATTTTCTGACTTTTCCTAAAACTAAATTGGGCACATTCCCTGAAAATTTCAAGTTCATAACTTTACCAGGGGCGGCTCCAGAGCACTGGGAATTGGGGGGTCCTATTCGTGAAGCGAGTCATTTGGGCGAAGATCACGATGCTGCACCAGTTTTACGAACATTGAATGAAAGGTATCATGTGATAACATATACAGTTATTGTGCATCCTCTTTTGACACGTTTTTGCTATAATAGGCGGATCCAGGCGTCCAAAAAGGGGGGTTATGTTTTACCTCCAGGCCCTGACACCGCCTATGCATGACCAATACAATTGTAGTCGTTCTCTCATAAGAAAATTGTAACATAACAAGACCATTACTACCCTTTTTAGAAACAGTACCAACAAAAACCTTATTTACTATACTTTTTGTGTACCCCCAATCTCAATGATCTGTATCCGCCTATGATTTTTGAAAATGAATATTTTTAGGATCCATGTGAATTCCTGGTTCATTCTCTATCGATCGGCAAAAGTTGCGTTAAGATTGGTTCAGAAACCTGGCCGTGATAAACAGTCTAAAATGTATCTGCAATTTGCCCGTTTTTACCTCCCTCTACCCCCCCCCCTATTGACATTTTTTAATTTTTATTTTTTAGAAATGTAGATCACGTTGAGCGAAATCGAATGCCGTTTCAATTTTGAAAATCGGCCCGTTAGATCTCGAGATATCAAGGGGGGGTCGTAAACAGCCCCCCCTGCCACTAATAGGGGTAGCCAGGAGCCTGCCACTAATAGGGTTAAAGGCAGCGTTAGTCTCACCTCCTGTCGCCGTCGCCGCATGTCTCGTGCTGCACGAGGACCAGGTGTTTGGGCGTGAACAGCCCCGTGGCCTGGTCGTAGATAGCCTTGATCTCGAAGTCGAGCGCGTCGAGGGGTGCTTGTGGGTCCGAGTGGTACACGGAGTGGCGGTGTGAGGACAGTGTGCAGTTCTTATGCAGCCGCTCCCACGGACTGGTGGCTGTCAATTTGTTCGGGGGCACCGGTTGCTGAAATGGGTTTTAGGGAGCATTTATCATCCGCCACGGCACACTTGCCTGTTTTCACTTTGTTTACGTACGCGGCACTGAGTTAGCGGCCTCGAATAAACCGTAGCGCTTTTCAAGCCACGCTAGGCGCGAGGTAAGTTCTTTGAATTTAGTAAGAATGCATTATAAATACCTATAGGTAGGTTTGTCGTTAATGTGTACTGAAATCAATCACACAGGCGAAATGCATCATTGCATGCCATTCACTATTCATTGACTGGCGATCCCTATCGCTATGGGTTACACATTAGCCGTTTTCACGACGGCCATCGCCCATCTTATACACATTTGGTGCACATCTGGTACAGATTAGGTGCAGAGTTGGTCAAATCAGGTTCAGTGTGTCTCTTATCAGCTATCAGCTGACAGCTAGGGTTGCACTAATTGCTTATATGCCTGCTTTGTCATATTATCAGAGAGCATCATCGATTAAAACACTGAAATAAATTCATAAAATGAAGATATTTGCTGTAAAAGAAATTAGGTGCAGATTTGGTCAAATCAGGTACATTCGCCGGATAGCCCGTCGTGAAAACGGCTATTGAATCCTAACTGAATCAGCGTTGTAGCATTTTAGATTTATCGAATGAGCAGTGTATTGAAACGCTCGGCGAAAATGATTGGTACGATAAGTGCTCATGTAATAACGTTTTGTGTTGTAATTGCATGTCTTTTTTGGACTTACCCACATGTTATGGGTCCAGGTTACGTTCTTGCTACGTCTACTTTCGGCCTTCGTTGACGCCGATTTTTTCTGTCAATATCTTTCACTTTTTTCACTTTCTTAGTTTCACTGCGTCATTGAATGAGTTTCCGCCGAGTCCCTTCCCTGCCCAGCGCCCGAAGCGGCTTTAAACCATAGCCAGGCTATCTATGCTTAAGTTTTACTTTATATTGACCCTTATGACCCCACCACCGTCCAACTCTGCTCGCGGCGCCAGCGGGTTTTCTACACCCACGGTTTGCCCACGGTGCTGTTGATCGCATATCGATTTCACAACCATTCACAACCGTCATAAGCAGCCAGCGAATTTGGTCGATAACTCACGGTTTCCATGGTTACGCATCATCGATGAAGAAACCCTTTCATTGTGGGATAACCTGCTTTTATGGCATTGAATGTTATTTGTACCTAATATTGAAAGTTTGATTGAAAATGATCGCAAAGCAGAACATCAACGCTACCGGTACCGGTCACGGGACGCACGCACTGTAAAAGAAAAAAGGAATTCATAATCACCCCTAATGTCAAGACTTTGTGAATGAAATTTTCAGTCGTGGTTGTGAGTACCTACTTGGGGTAGTTGGCCGGAACGAGAACTGGGGACATCGCAACTCATTTTCGTATAATTATTCTAATATATACCTAAGTTTCATGACGAGCTGTTCCTTCAATTGTATAGGTATGCACGCCATAGGTACCTACTTGCACTCAGTGCCTATCTGTTAAACAAAAACATGCGAAATAACACGATGTTTGAGGTTTATTGGTAGGCAAATTGTACACGAACTGCACACAACGCACATTCATATACTTCAATAAACATGCATACACAATAAAAATAATTGCGGCGAGCATCACAGGTGATATCGGACATGTCTATTGCAACAGTGCACACGACAGGCAGGTGACAAGTACCTACATACAGATAGACCAAGAGAAGAAATCGCATTCAGATTCGTGGCGCAGACTAGCATGAGAAACGCATCCAAAAGATGCGAAGTTTTGATTCCAGTTGTGCGCAAACGTCGCGATATTTACACTTGCAGTTTGATACTTGTAATGAGTGGCAGTGCTAGGATGATGCTAGGTTTTCCTACGTTAAGTAACGATACTGGCTGGAAAGCAACCGCGTCATTTGAAAAGAGGCATTATGTTGTTCTCTAGTTTTGATGACTGATGTAATATTCTTACAAATATTTCAATAAGACGAAAAATCGAACATTCGATTCGGCAAGTCAGCCTAAACACGGTGGTTCCGTATACCGTTTAGCCAGATTGATCGAATGGGGACCACATACAGTGAGTGCAATTGTTTACCTACATTTGTGCAATGACGTAGCACACAATTTCGTCAGCTAAGTAGGCTGTTCGGTGCTGCACTGCCCGTCAGGAGCCCATTATTTCTCACTCCACTGCGTGAGGCAAGCACATCTGAGTCATCAGCATTCGGCAAAGACAAAACTGGACGGTTCACTGACGCTGCTTACCACTCGTTGGGCTTCAGTTCCTGTCACAACGACCGTGACATGCGTCAAAAATACTCGGTGCTAGAATAGCGTCTCTACACTAGTGTGTCGAGCACATAGCCGACGGCCGCCTCGTCACTGCTGCTGTGCAACGAACTGAGGCCGGTGTCAGAGTTCGAGTCGCCGTCGGCCAGCTCCTTCGTGCCCCCGGGCGGCGGCAGGTTCGTGTACACGGGATTGGCGTACCCGGCGGGCGTGTGGTGGTCGGAGCGCTGCGAGACCGCCAGGCACGGCTGGTCCGTCGGCGGAGTCCGCTGTTCGACCGTCAGCGTCTGCTCGTCCGCCAGGCGGCGCCGCTCGTCCTCCAGGAGGCGCTGTCCGTCGGCCAGCAGCCGCCGCTCGTCCGCCTCCATCTCGTCCAGCTCGCACTCGAGGTAGCGCGCAAAGCGCCGCTTGTCTTCGAGCGCGTGCTCACACGCCACGAGCGCGCGCTCGTTCTGCTCGATCTCGGCCGTCTGGCGCGCGCAGACGGCCATCAGACGCTGCAGCTCGGCTCGCGAGATCTCCAGCTCGAGCACCGTCTCGGAGGTGTCTTCTGGGGCTGCCGGCGCGGCGGCGCGGCGCACGCGCTGCGTCAGCCGCACGGCCGCCTCCTCCTGCTCAGCGATCCGGCTGTTGAGCTCGACGATCCGCTCCAGGTACATCAGCGTCTGCCGCAGGTCCGAGACGGCCTCCTCCTCGCTGACGTCCCGGCGCGGCGATTCCGGCGCGTCGGCGCCCAGCTCGGCACCCACACCGCTGTCGTGACTCGCTTTCTCGGCTTCCGCCGGCTCGCCGTCCCGGAGGTAGGTGCGGAGCAGGTAGTCCGAGCCGAGACGGTCCTCCCGCATTCGGTGCATCTTGTGCTCGTAGTACCCGATGAGGTCCTCTCGCTCGTGCAGCCGTCGCAGCTGCGCGGCGATCGTCTCACCCTGGACGAGGATGGTCTGCATCAGCCGCTCGACCACGTCGTCCCGGGCGCCGTCGTGGTCGGTCGCCGCCGTCAGTTTACGCGGGTGCACCGCCTCCAGACTGCTGGAGCTGCGCCACCGGTGCCGCTGCCGGCGCCGCGGCGCCTTCACCTCCTTGGGCGTCTGCGGACCGAGCCGCTTCAGCGCGAACCGCACCTCTGCCGTGTCCTCGCCCCATGTCCTCCAGACCTTCTGGATGCGCGCGGCGGGGTCGAGCGGCCGCTCCACCTGCCGCCACCGCTCCACGAGGCTGTAAGCTCGCAGCTCGGACTCGGTGGGCGGCTCCGATCCAGCCTCGGCGCTGAGCAGGGCGCGCACCAGGTCGGCGCAGGTAGTCCTCCGTCCGACGCCGGTCACCCACTTCTCCACACCGTCCACCCACACCGGGATCTCAGAGGTCATCGTCATCTGGAACAGACACAGAAACACCGGCGTCAGGTAATGTCCGGAGTGTGCTGGAAGGGACCTACTGGGTGTTGAATGGGTGATGTGACACGGCATAAATGGAAAGTGAGATGCCTGCTTTTACCAACAAATCAAACAAACGTTATGCAAATCATTTCTGTTGATATGCTCCATGCTGTCACTCAGGACATGCAGTGGACACTGCACACTGACCCACACACGGAGATCAAGAGATCGGGTGAAATATAACCAGTGACGCCAATGCATCATGGAATGAGGTAAAAGGCTTTGTCGAAACGCAACTCAGCAATCCCTGGCATTCATTTATGCGGTTTAGTGTCCCGCACGCACGTCACAGGTCCACCTGTGACGTCAGTGATCCTGACAGCTACTCGCAACATCACTAAAGAAATGTAATTAAAGCCTGATTGATTTTCAAGTCTGTGTGAAAGGTGTGATTGAATGTCGGTGAGCCGGTGGCTTATCACGCCAAGGTAATCCCGCAGCGGCAAATAATGTTGGCCTTGGGCGCTTCACAGTAACTTATGGCTGTGACGAAACACAGCGCTGGGTGGTGGATTTTTATTGTCCATTATCCCTCACCCGGAATGCAGTTACCTTTCCTGGCTGAATTGGTATGAGTGCCAATATAGCAATAACGATATGAGCGGAACAGCTGTATGAAATGGTCGTAGATTTAGAAGCATCGGTTCTTTTCCAGGTCAAGGCAGATGCAGAGCTTGAAGTCTTTAACCAGCATGCCCATGAGTGAGTAATTGAGAGGATAAGTGCATCAGAAGAAATTGAAACGGAGGGAAAAGATCCTGAACTCCACTCCAGGTGAGTCCTTTGAAGTATTATAATGGCTCTCCCTCTGTTTCATTATCTCATATCCCTCTCTTCGCAAGGGCTCCTCTCACTTTCTACTACTTAATTAATTCTCGTCATCCATATGTCACGCGTCAGTAGTAACTTGTTTGAGCCGCTAGCCCAATAGATCAGTCTTCACTCTCCGCCAGCTGCCGTACCCCGACCGGACATCTGCCTGACGTTATTGATGCACGTCCCGACCGTTACCATAGCGCACCGTGCTCTTCAAAAACAATGGATGCCGCCCTTTGGTCTGTTTTTCTGTCACCCGTCTGGCATCCATCCGTCCATCATTCGTACGTCACCCATCCGTCATCCCTCCAGCATCCACAAGTCACCGTTATTCGTCAGTCATATGTCCGTCTTTCGCTTCTCATGTCCGTTCCAACCACCTATCCCTCCGTCGTCTGCTCGCTCCTTCCATCCTTCCATCGTCCAACATTCGCTCGTCTCTCGCTCGTCGTCCGCCTGTCGTCCTATCGTCCACCTGTCGTCCGTCTCTCGTCCTGTCGTCTGTCTCTCGCCCTGTCGACCTTCCTTCTCGTCACTCCTCCCACGTCGCGTCAATCGCCCCAGGCGCGTCACCGACCTTGTCAGTCGCTGACAATCGTTGACGCCCCTGTCTGCGGTTCATTAGTGGTGCGATGAGCGCAGAGATGCATATTTGTCTCTCTTCTAATGGACACCGGAATTTGAATTGGAGAGTGCCGAGGGAGCGGTTCACACGCCCTGAACGTGTGAAGGTCACCGAAATGAAAAATGGAGGCCCACGCGGATGAGGTTTTGTTTAGAAGGACGGACCGACTATACGTGGGCCTTGTTTTGCCGTGGGATTGGAGAGGCGTTTGGACTGTTCCAGGATGAGCAATAAAAACGAAACCATCGTCGCTAAAAACATCTAATGGTGAAAATAGTAGACAACTACGAGGGTGCTAGAACAATTATCCCCTGCTATCATCCTCATTCTCAACCGATGTTAATTGAGTTTTCGGTATAAAATGGCCTTCCGGACAGAGCTGGGCAAGTGCGTTCCTTTAGTGCGTTCCTGCGTTCTTCCGTACGTACGCACCGCCCTTTTTAGGAACGCAAGAACGCAGGAACGCAAAGTTTTTCAAAGGAACGCAAGTAAGAGGAACGCACCACCCGAAATTTTGAAGCGTTCCTGCGTTCTTGCGGAACCACCCGAAAAATTATATTGCTGCCAATGACCTCTGTGTCAAATGTTTGAATCTCGAGTACGTGTGTTTGCCGGTAGAGGCGCCACTTGTCGGTCGAATCGAGGAAGGCTTGCTTAGATTTAGTGGTGATGTTTACTATTCGATTCGGTTTCAGGCATTAAATGTGTTAAGATTTTTAGTGGTGATGTTTACTATTCGATTCAGTTTCAGGCATTAAATGTGTAAAGTAAATATGATAACTTTTACTAAGATACATCTTTTAACTTAACTATTGTTTTTAAGCAGGTCGTATTTTTGTTGAAAACCCTACGGATGATATTAGTAAAACGTATTTCAGATATTCGATTCGGAAAAGAGATGTCGAGCTGCTTTTCGGCCCCACGTCGCCATTCTGGGTATTCTGTGATCGATTCGCCCCGTGTTTGGTTGGGCCCGCGCCGCGTGGTTCGGCGGTATTTTTGAGGGAGGAACGCAGGAACGCAGGAACGCTAACGCACCGAGCGAAAAAAATTGAGGAACGCTATTCCAGGAACGCACTAACCGCGGCCGGAGGAACGCAGGAACGCTAACGCACTACCGAAAATCGAGGAACGCGCCCAGCTCTGCTTCCGGAGTACAGTAGTACAAAACTAAGATCAAAGGCACAGGTGCCTATACATAAGTTAAATACATCTCAATGTGCAGTCAACGCATGGCGCATGGACAGATCGCAAAACGATGTTCATTTTTCGGTTAACCACCATGCAGCGTCCATACAGCGTTCATGTGCATAAAAGGGAACGTGGGAGAAAATGATAAGCGTTAAATGTTAGCCACCCATTCTCATAAAAATACAAAGCGCACTTTGCGTGCCAAATACACACGTTGGCGCTTGTCAGTGGCTGCGATAAAATAAACTTATTACAGGCGTTAAAGGTCCATAAGGAAGCGGACAGAGTTGTTCTGAGCAGGGCTGCGGAGTCGGAGTCGGAGTCGGAGTCGGAGTCGGTCGGAGTCGACAGTTGTGACCGGAGTCGGAGTCGGAGTCGGAGTCGATTTTAGAAACCCGAGCCGGAGTCGGAGTCGGAGTCACCGAAAATCTGTCGACTCCGCAGCCCTGCTAAGTCTGCGGAGTCGGAGTCGGGAGTTGGAGTCGGTCGGAGTCGACAATTCTGCCCGGAGTCGGAGTCGGAGTCGGAGCTGGTTTTTGAAAGCCGGAGTCGGAGTCGGAGTCGGAGTCGCCGAAAATCCATCGACTCCGCAGCCCTGGTTCTGAGTGTTCACACCGGTGTGAAGCTGTGCTGGACCTCTTCACTCTATGACTCCTCGCAGTAGACGGTCTGCATCCCACATGACTCACTGTTATGGCGTCAATAATGACTCAGCTAGTCACATACGAGCCGTAAGCCCGTGCTTACCATCTTAGTAAATGTTTCGATGTCATAGACCATTCTAAGCTTCTTCAAAAACTTCAGTTACACGGTGTGGACACTGCATGGTTTGGAGGCGTACCTGCAGAACCACACACAGAGCGTCAGCTTCACTGATGTCTCTGGCAACAGGCAGACATCAACCGCGCTTCCGAACAACATGGGCGTTTTTCAAGGTTCGGCACTAGGTCCCCTCTTATACACCGTCTTTTCAAACGACCTCAGCCTGTTCGTGCCGGATGCGACCGTTGTCCAGTACGCGGACGACACCCAGGTCATGGTCTGCGGCAACAGGACAGCCCTGTCAGATCTGACTGAGCGCATGGAACAGGCCCTTTCCTCTCTTGACCTCTGGTTCCGCGCAAATTCTCTCAAGGTGAACCCCGACAAAACTCAGTTGATAGTTTTTGGCAGTAGACAAAATCTGCGGAACATCACACCTTTCGGCGTCAAATTCCGCGAGCGTACAATTCAGCCCGTCTTAGAAGTTAAAAATCTAGGGGTGGTCTTTGATCGCCACCTGTCCTGGGACGCCCATGTGCAAGAAATTACGCGCAAATGCTTCGGGATCCTCATTGGCCTGTCGCACATCCGTCACTATCTTCCGGTCGAGATCCTCCCCACCATCGTAGCTGCCCTGGTGCTTTCCCGCGTCCGCTACTGCCTCCCTGTGTACGGCAACGGCAGCCGAAAGAATCTAGACAAGATTCAAAAAGTGATTAACTTTGCTGCGCGTGTCGTATCAGGTCGAAGGAAGTTCAGCCGTTCAGCGGACGTCAGGGCGGCACTGGGGTGGCTCGATGCGGAGGACCTATTTAAATTTCATACGCTCGCATTACTCCACAAAATTTGCATGTATCACACACCAGTGTCGCTTTCATCCTCACTCCAAACAAACCGTGAGGCACGAGAACGGAGCACTCGACATGATGATGACCTACGTCTGCCACGTGTACGGACGGAGACTGGGAGGCGCCGGTTCTTGTACCGTGCACCGATGATGTACAATGCCCTCCCAGTGGAAATGCGCACGATGACAGTCGCCAATTTTAATCATGCTCTCAAGCGAGTCATTAGCACGAGGGAAACATAGGAATGCGTGTTTTACTACTAGTTACTGGCTGTCGTCGTTATTATTGTCTTATTTTAGTTTTTCCCTTTTTATTATGCCCGTTTTAGTTTATGTGCATGTGGAAAGTGTGAATGTCTTTTTATATCACTGCATTTTACAACTTGACTGATGGCAAGGAATAGCCACTATGAGTGGATTTGCCTGAATAAAAATTGGTATTGGTATTGGTATTGGTGCTGGGTCGGCCGAATGCCGCGTTACGCCGCCGCACCACGAGCCGGGCACCCTCTGCGGTCTGCGCCCTCACCGAGCCCACGCCCTTTGGATCCATGGCCAGTCCGTGAGCCCCTCACCATCATTGGAGCGTATGATGGTCGCGTGTGTCAGCAAAAGGAACCGCCGATAAATGCACGGGCCGGCCGCCGAGATTTGTGGACTTCCCGTGTGTGCATTTTTCACGGCTTCGTCCAGTCATGCCGAATCGGTGAGAAAATTCGGAGGCCTGGGACTGCCCCAGCCATGTGGCCCCGGGTTTGACGAGCTAGCTGTTGTTGCAGCGTCACTCGGCATGCACGCCGATTGTTGATGCTATTGGTGGACACATGCATAAATAGCGCTCACGAGGGAAGCTATCCGTCATACGTGGGAAACATGTAGCAGCCGTTTTGTAGCCATCGTTATGGATCCAGACTCAGACACCATGACCGACAGCAAACGCATGCATTCACTGCAAATGCCTACTCATCACCGGACCGACAGTTGCTCCTGCAGCTCTCAACCGGTGGAGCTCATCAGAGCAGAGCCATCACTCCCAAGGCCACGGCGCCCATCTTATCCCGAACACTGAACCGTGAACCGGCGCTGGTTAACACTAGCGGCCTCCACAAAGGCTTTCGACCAGCTCGCATTTGCATGCCTGGCCAGGGCACCTCTGAGCGGAGTCGGCGCAGCTCGGCCGCCGGCGCGCCGACCGGTACTGACCTCTGACCTGACCAGGCAGACGGCTCGGCCGCCGCCGCTCACCACGGCACGAACGCGACGTCCAGGTGTTTACGGCAGCGGTCCGCCGGCCGCGCGGGGTGCCGCTTGGCCCTGCTGAGAGCCACGGTTACACCGGCCAGAGCTCGAGACCGCAGTGGTAGTGACTGGGTGAGCCGCCCCCGAGGGAGAAAGAGACCGCGGAAACGGTAACACTTGACAATGGAGGCATCTCTGAAAGAGCTTCAGCGTCTCTTGTACAGAGCCTGAGCTGTGTAAGCTTACTCTACAACGACAATCATTGGCGATATGTGGAACAATGGCGATCGTCGAATGCAGCGATTGTACATTCATATTTTCATCGAAAGCAAGAGTAATATTTTAATCACTGTCTTTTCATAGCAGAATATCCAGAGTATTTTTCGGTATGATATGCATTGACAGAGTAACGAGATACCTTGTCCAACAATGCCATTAGGCGAATGGCATGGGAACATCAACGAGGACCCAGGAAAACCTATTGGTATCTCATCTTTTCATAGCTTACATACCTAACTACCGTGTGAATTCCTGCTCAACATCGTGCGCAAGGCCTGCATTACGACATTTCAAGGTTCGCTTTGTTTTACTCATGTGAAAGTGCGAGTAAACCTTGAGTGGGCACTGACCAAGCTGCAGCTTGATAACCAAATCACTGACAGTCTGTCAGATTTGGTGGGAGGCCTTCCGTTGTGGCATTGTTGCGGATCTTGCTTTACTCAGCACCGTGTGCTGTGCGGAAACGTCCATGTATACTTAAATTGATTAATGGTACATCAAACATAAGAATTTCATGGGTCTGGAGCCCTAATTCATTTGTCTTTGAATTCACATGACCTCGTGTATTGCAGCATTATTTCCATGTTTGAGCCGTCACAAGTCACGATCAGCCTTGTAACGTTGCACGTAACGTCACGGCCGCGATGTGACCGTGACGGTTTTTCAGTCAGTCACACTCGGCCGAGCTGGAACGCGGTGTCATACCTGTTACCTGTGTCATAGCGGTGCTATGCAGATAGTTGAAGGAAGTCGTGCGATGCAGCAGGGAACATGGTAGGTAGCTGCTGATCCCTACAGCGTTAAAAAAGATCCCTACAGCGTTTGCATTGTGAATGCTGACGAGTGCTGTCACGACGAGCGATGCAGAGCGTAAATAGTGGTATTTCAGCTGTTTTCGGTTCTTTCAATGTAACGCGCCTAGGAAACAATGCCAGATACGGCGTCACGTAATCTAGGCCTGATAAGTTTCATTGTTTGTACCGGATGACGAATGCTTGATTCTCAGAATGTAAATTGCAAGACTGAATCGGCTTACCTAATGGTTGCTGAATAATTATCATTGTCTATTAAAACTTCACCTGCAGTTGGGGCAATACATGCTCAAGTAAGTCTAATATGATGTTGTCATCATTTGCAGCTTTTATTACATCGCGTCGGTTCAATTACATTCATGTACTCGATTCGATGAGTCAGAATGTCGTGCTCTGCATGGAGTCCAACATAAGCATATTCCATAAAAATGAATGCGTTCCGTGCTTATGACGCGAACGGGTACCCGTTTGAAACAGTTACTGATGTTACTTATCAAACCAGCGGTTATTTACCGAAATTTTCGTGTTCCGTTGCTCACAGCTCCTCCGAGGGGTAATGAACTTCGTCCTCCGCCGACCACAGTCGAGCTGCATTCTTCTTCCCTTTTTTGTCCGCATTTACCCTTGCCCATCCAACTTTTATTTTCACCCTTCTCTGGGGCTGGGAGGAGTCCGGTGAATTATAGGCCCCTGAAAATGAAATTCCTTCCTTCTCTGTACATTAGGCGGGTGTAATGTCGGCGGTGCTGTCATATTAGAGCGTTATCGCCCGGCGGAGGCGCCTTTTGTGCTGCCGCTCTCCGCTCTTCCTCGAGAGCAGGGACGCCTGAACCCTCCCCACCCGACCGCGCAATCCAATCACGAATATTACCCTCCCCTCATTAGCTCTCCGTCACGGCGAGTTAAAGTTGGGCCCAACCAGTCAGGAATGAACACTTTTACCGGAGTCCCATGCGAGGCCTCAACAAAAATGCCTGCAGAGGTGTGATTAGCCAGCCGCCGGAGCACCCAACCCAAGGCCGCAGGAGCCGTGACTCACGGTAGCTGGAGGTGATGAGGGCCCCTCAAACCCCATCTGGCACGAGTCTTACTACCGACGGCGGGCTCGGCGCCACGGTAGCAATAAACGGTAGTACGCCGCCGGCGACGGGCGCAAAACATTCCGACCGCAGCCGGCGGCGGCACTGGCGGCGCGGTGAGGCAGTGACGGCGCGGTGGCGGCGGCGCTTCACGAGGGCCGTTTTTAGGACCGTCGAGTGCCGTCAGCTGCGTGAAGGCTCAGGAGGTGACGCCGCTAGTGTGATACGTGCTCCGCTCGGAAACCGGTGCAGCGGCAGAAGGGTTAGACGCCTCGGCTCCAGCTTCTTTGGTCTATTTCTGAACATCATGGTCGTGATTTATCATAAAGGACAGGCCCTTAATTGAAAGAGATTCAACTAATTGACATACAATACAACATAAAGCATAAAAATTAATGGCAGGGACGAGCCGTTCACACATTTTCTTAGCTACTTTTCCTTTTCGCATCTCATCAAAACAGGCCATTCAGAAGTCGGCCTCTGATCGGTGGTGGCCCGTCTGCCTGACTGCTACCCGTGCCTACGGAGGCAGTGGAGTGTGGTGGGCCCGCCGCCCGTCGGCCCGGCTCCGGCAGGGTCGACCGGACGGGTCAGAAGGTCGTCACACGGGCGGCGTGAAACCTCCTTCCAGAGCTGGGTCAGCACGATGAGCGAGTTGGATCGACACCATTGACCTCACCGGGACCTTAATTCAGCCGATATTAATTAGAGCATACATGTTAATCGGTGGTTAACTATAGCCGCCGATCGCTGTGAGAACTCGCAGGAAGGAAGATGACCGACCCATTATCTTCCATACATCTCGAAGTGTTCAGCCAAAGCT